GTAGCACTAAGTCCACAGTGGCTGACCAGTAAATAAGCTGCCATAGGCAACGGTGATAAATACCTCCCATTCAAAAAATCAGGAAAATACTCACGAGTTTCTCAGATGTTCAAAACACATATCCAATAAAAGCTCACTTCCCCATCTTTCATTTGCGTTTCATTTTTCAGTGGCTTAACCCATGACTTTGGAGATGGGCCTATATCTCCCCAGAGATCACCCTAAACACGTCACGATGGGTCCTAAACTCCATTGCGAAATCATAAGGTAGAGCGATTTGGAGGGCCATGTTCTGTCCGATCATTGCAGAAATACAGGCAGGCAGTCCTAGTGGAAGATTCCACCATCTCGTCTTTCTTTACAAACCATCCAGTCCAATGGTTCCAAGAAATGCTCTGATTTGGTCCGTGCATCAATGGTACAGGCAATTTTGGGCCTATTCACTTTGTTTACTTTGTTTAAAATACAAATTAAGAAAAGATAATGATTTTCAGGGTCTTAATTAATATTAACCAGTCAAAAATTATGAATGTAGTGAAGTAGTGCCCACGGACATTTACACGCACTGACTGCCAGTAAAATGTGCGCAAAACCGTAGTAATGAAAATCGGGGGCAATCAGTCCGAGTCACTCACCAACATTTAAACACATAGACCGCCAGCGTAATTTTTTCCTAGGAATTATCCGGAAGGTTAGGGGTAATTATCATAAAATGGGCGTATCTTAACCGTTGCGCATGCGTTATCATAAATGGGTAGGCCTACACGAACGACACAACAAAATTGTCCTTCTAGCCGACCTACATGGTACTGTAGCTCTGTTACAAGAGCGTTATTCTTAGAACCATCAAGCCGAGGGTAGTAATTTTTTCTTGGGGAATTAGTTGGTTGGAGGATTTTTTTATCATGATAAAGTAAAGCCCGACATTTACCTTAGCACTTAAGTTTCTAAGTGCCATTAACCCGATCGAGCTTGCCGTTAACCACGCCTTTTATGATAATTATCCCTTACCTTCCTAGGAAAACAAATTACGCAGACCGTGATTTTCAGAAGTGTCGGCAAAACGATTTATGGCAGCCCGTATAATTGCGTTCAGTGCGTAGCAATGCACGGATACTTTCACCTGTTTGCACAGTACTCTGCTACGTCTTGGTTTTAAATGTTGTAACTGCATTGTTGAATTTGAAAAAAACGTGGGTTGGATTGAAGTAAATCGCGTTTTTTTCTCAGTTTAACAATCGAAAAAGTTCCATAAACTTTTATGGAGGGAAATTTTCAACTAGGCCTATGTATGAATTCCTATACCGAGCAGTGAATTTGCCCACGGTTTTCATTTTAGTTGGGCGCTGCTCAGATCGCTAAATGGTCATGTATTTTTAATGCGATCTGGCCATCTTTCCATTTTAATGTCTGTAGCCTCCGTAGAGGTGCATCCGTTGTGTGCAGCGGTTACGTATACACAGAGCCTCGCTGGTTTGCGCCACTAGTATCCTGATAAAAACTGGATAGAGGATGCCATACGGCCAATCCAACCTGAGTTGAAGTACACCCTCATCGGCGGGAGAAAGACAGTCCGGTGAGAAGTTTTCTATCCGGGTTCCTGCACGAATGCGGCGCACACTAGGATCGAGTTCGGGTGGCCTATTCTTGACACGGGTTTCTTGTTCTCGCGCTCAAACGTTGGGAACACGACTCAAGAACACTGTTCCCGGAACAGGATCACACACCGCCTCCTCGTCAGGGTTTACAGGAACACACGGAAAAACTCGTGAGATTTTGATTTTTGAACAGCTTTAAAAAAAAAATACAGATGGCTTACAAAGCCGGAGACAATAAGCAGTTTTGCACAATTTAACACAGAAATGAATGTTCCTGTTTAAACAGAAAATAATTCGGCCCAGTTATCCAAACTCTCAAATGACGTAGGCTACATGTACACGAACGGCGTCATGTTGCATGTTGCTTCCCATGACTACCAGTGATAACCAGCTGTACGTTTCCGGCGTTCGAGCGGCTGACCCACGAACAACAAATCGAGCTGTTCGTCTACTAATATGCGAGTGAATTATATGTTCAACACACTTGCATGATATTGAGTTTAGGGAAACCAGTCTCTAATTTGAAGGAGTAGCCTTATCGCCTTTCTTGTACAGGGCAGAAGCATTTGCTAGCAACCTGTCTTCTGGCAGTTCGCCAGTATCGAGAGATTGCTGAAATATTTGAGACAAGACTGGCGCAACTTCCTCAGCAGCTTCTTTCAAGCTTGTGGCTAATATCATCCGGGCCACTGGCTTTAGTAACGTTGATTTCTTTGAGCATTTCAACACCCCCTCCACTGAAACGGTGATATCCTCCACAACGGGAATGTCAGATAGATAAAAAGGAATCTTATCTACATGTTCTGTAGTGAAAACTGACTTGAACTGCTTCGCCAAAGTACAAGCTTTCTCTTTATCAGTAACGTGATTGACTCCATCAGTCCTCAGAGTGGGTATAGGCCCTACCTTGGTTCTCCGACCTCTTGCTTTTAATGTACTTCCAAAACCCTCAGGGGTCCTCCTTCAAGTTGTCTACCACTTTGTTAACATACCTCTGGTATGCATATCTAAGTTCCCGTTTGACGAGCTTTCCAGCCACCTAATACTCTCCCATGACTCCAATGTAGCATTTTTCATGTTTTTTTTTATGAATTCTATGTCTAACTCTAATCAATCTTCTGATCTTACTGTTGAACAACGGCACATTCTGCTGCGGTTTTGACATCCGAAAGGGAATGTGCACATCTATAGCAGACAAACTTAAAGACTGGACTTGAATGCGGTCCAATATGCCTAAGCAGATGTAACAGTATGAGCCTTGGAGAAGTTATCCTTAACGATCATTATATCTTCCCTCATTCCATCAAAATCAGTTGAATAGAGATAAATTCTCCAGCGAGGACGGGGCTTTTGCTTTGCATTGGTCTTGAACACACAAAAAATTGCTTCATGATCATTTATGCAATGTTTAACTTCAATATGCTCAATGCTATTCGGAATTGAACTAAATAACAAGTCCAGGATCTTGCTTTTGTATCTGTGTACTGGTAGGTTGGTTGATATGTTGACATAAAAAGGACTTATTGGCAATTTGAATAAGATGAGCTTCAGAAGGAGTCGCTGTTTGGATTCCATCACCCCAATTAATGGTTTTGGCATTAAAATCCCCAGTCAGAATAATATTTGGAACGCTACGTGGATTCTGTGAGATCTTTGGAAGCGAGGAATCAGGACTCATCCATTCACTAAGTTTACTGCTGGGCACACGATAGTAGCAACCAATCAGGAGTGTCTTACCAGACTGCAGGAGGATTTGAGCCCAGATACTTTCTGTATCTGAGTCTAACTCAGGGCAGGGAAGACTAGCATACTCATCACGAATAGCAATAGCCACTCCTCCTCCATTCAAGTTACGATCCTTTCTGTGAACAAAATTTCCTGGAAACAACTCATTGGTAGAAATCTATATGAGTTTCAGTGCCACAAATCACGTCCAGCTTATTTTTCTCAATCAAAGCATGAAATTCAGGAACCTTACTACGTAAACTTGTGGCATTAATTAAGACTAAGCAATCGTAGAACTTGATCTTTGCTCTTCCCTTTTTTATCGTGACTTTGTTCTTTTGCTGCAGGTGCACGTGGTTTTTGGCACTTGGGATTCACATGTGGAAAACTTTCTTGCTTGATCCAAATCACGCCCATGTAATTTGTAAGGAGACCAAACTTCACAATCACTACTGGAAGCAAGATCAAGATCCCCCAATGGTGTGTAGAAATTATCTCGACTTAGGTTCAAATTGATGATTGAGCCACTGAAGTCCAGGAAATCGCATAGAGGACAAAACCAAGTAAATGACGACTCAATTTGATAGCCATGATACTCGTCGGAGACATCACAACATTTGCAACACTTCTTTACAACACATAGTGCATGAGAAAATGGGCGTGGTAACCACTGGAGGAGACCGAAAAACTAACCATCATGAAAGATTTATTAAAGTACAACCCTCTATTTTTAAGCATCAATAAGTTCACGCTTTCCGAGGCTGCACTCCGGCTAATAGCACTGCGTTTGCAGTGACCATTGTCCATGCCGTACTGGGACAAGAACTGTGCACTGTGCAGAGCTCATTGCTGCATGCAGGCACACAAGAGTCAGTAAAGTAGTTCTCTTCAAACATGTAAGTAATCAGCAATTCATCAGAAACTTCGGCTGTAAAACAGCAATGCTGCTGAGTCTCCAGAAATTGGAGAGATACATGTTGTCCTACCTTCAAGTTCAAGCTGGAAGTTACTGCCAACATGGCCAATGTACACAGCATGCGTACAACAAACCACCTCCAAGCAAGCAGATCCATAATAAAGAATAGTGATCTAACCAAAATAATTGCCAACAGGTCACTGAAGATTCAATACAGTAGGCAGTAAAATGACAAACATCGAAGATAAATTTGGCAAGATGGCGACAGTGTTATACAATACGGATACAAATGGCCGATACAAGTATACACGGGTTTAAGACTTTCCAAAGTCTAAAAACTATCAAAATCAGCGAAGTTGACATCAAAACGATTACCAGTGCAATCACAAATCTCCAGACAACCAAATGATTGTGCAATAAAAAGTGGATGGCAAACGAAAAAGATTTATAAAGTGGATTTCTCGCGAGCGATGTGTCCACTCTGCCTCCCCTAGATAAGAGCGCCCCGCAATTGTTACATGGAAAATGTTTGAATATTTATGAAGTGTAATAAAACAAATACAGCATCATTTATTTTGGGAAAATAGTGGGAATTACTTGCCCCGAGGTGTAGGTCAGCTTGACTACCTCCCGACGCGAAGCGGTACTTTCCCTCAAACCATTCTGTATTTGTATTCTACCATCTGTCTTTCTTTTGCCGCTTGGGGGTGCACTTCAACTCGGGCGGATAGCTGCAATAAGAACGAGTAAAAGGGTTGTAAATGTGGTAGAAATTACTGTCTCTCTGTATTTATATCTCCCTTGAATGCTGTTCAATTTCTGTCATTGTCCATTGTGCGTCGCCCGTCGTGCAGAATTGGAACACCCGGCTCCTGACAAACAGGTGTTGGTTTTCCTCAAAAAGGGCCGGGGGGGTACATCTGCACAAGGAGCGGGTGGCCGGAATAAGAGGCTCCACCATTTCACCTGCATTTTCCAGCCTCTTGGACGAGTTTTTACGGGGGAGCTTAGCTGTCTTCAAAGACACAAACAGAGCATCTTAATTCAAGTCTGTGTTTAACAGCCGCGCTTTTACTAAGCGAGCATACTTACCTCTATCAAACCAAACATTTGTGGGCTTGGCTAATGAATTCAGCGCCCCCTATTTTTGAATGCCGAGCAGCTGAATACGTACCCTCAACGAGCTGGGGAGAAGGGTGACTAGGATGGTGTAGTCTGAAACAAGACACGATGCATGGCGAATCAAATCGTCACTTGTTTATTAGCGTTACGTCCGACCTGATGGAAATCGTAGTGCCGTAATGAAATCTCTCATCTTCTGCTGCCAGCCAATGATTAATGATACGAATGGAAGGCAAATGCCGCAAAATGACATGGGCCCCTGGAAGCGTTTCATTAAATCCGCTTTCACGGACAAGCCTCCATTGGAAGTCTCTCGTTGTGATCTCCAGGGTGGCATTTCCCCCTGAGCACAATTGTATACGATTGCTCTTCAATCTGGCCTTATCTCGTTTGTGTTTTTGTCGTTTCTGCTTGTTCTTAACATTTCAAAACCGAGTGCTTGTTAGCGGGTTTATCCCTAAAATGAATAGTAAATGAAACGATCATGTCTTCATACTATTTATTTGTGTTACCCGATTCACTGAATCCACTAAAACCAAGTAATATTACAGTTTTATTCAACCTTGGTCTCAAACCCGCCTGATCAGTGCCGACATTACCAAAGAAGTAACTGTGTTTCGACAAGAATGCTAATATCAGTCATTATACACTGTGACTTATTAACATATCCAAAACCGAATTCCTATTTTCTGAATACCTCTGTTCTATTAAAAATTATTCCGGACGAGTTGGTTCTCTCTGATCTAAGGAAAAAGGCAATATTTTTAAAAGAAATTCCAATCTATCTGGTGCATACTCAACAACTGAATATCTTTGACCTTATAAACTCCATATCTACACGTATGATTTATCAGAGTGGCATGAAAACAAAGGGTAGATTTTGAAATACAAGTCCAGTAAATAAACACCACGGAAAGTTTGTTCCAGCCAAAACACAAGAGACAAGGGGAGATGTGTTGACACCATAATATCAAAGGGGATGCAAAAGATAACGAGGATGGCGTGAGGGCATGTTTAGGACATGACCTTTAAAGGCATAGACTTGGTTTAAGTTTGAGTGACCTGCTTGTTAGCATGTCGCATCGCTATTATAATATATGTTTGGCATGTTGGCCGTAGGCCATTTTGTTTTGCCCTTTCTGCACTTGGGAATATTCATCAAAAACATTACCCTACATTTTGTGCATTTTTCCCCTCATAGTCATTGGAACGATCCAATCCCTTCGTCAGATGCACTGTCGAACAAAATTTCCGACATCTTGTTCAGAATTTCATAATGATGGAAGCCGCATGTGTGTAGTTTTAGCGATTTAAAGTTGGTGACAAGTTTTTAAAATGGGGCTGTATTTAAGCAATAAATGAGTTTCATTTACATGCATTTATTCACTGGTTTTCTTTGGTTATATACACTGACTATCCGTGTTATCCTACCATCCATACAGTAGGCCTGCAACGTTCACTGAATTTCATATTATAATAGCTATGAGTTCAGCCTCAAGGAAATTCCACAAAGTTTATGATTTGCTAGTGAATTTATCTGCACGATAAGCCCTTGCATTGAATTCCTGAGTAATTGGCAACCCCGAAGGCCTATGCGCCTTCACTGAACAACCTAAGGTGAGGATGTGTTGCATAGATTCGTGCTCTTCAATAGGCTTGTATCAATATGGTCGTGCTGGAATCGATATGTGATCACGAGGATGCACTGTCTATTCCCTGCCCTGGTAACGCGCAATGAGGATTCATCAGACTGTCTATTTTTTCCATCAGACGATGCAACCAGCGGGGATAAGACAGGAAAAAAATTTCATTTGAAAACGCACTAAGTCAGCCTACTGGGGAGGTGAACACAAGCTTAATCTACTTCTCATTCCTCTATCTTTGGGAAGTCTTCTTGAACCTTGGATGGCATCACTCCAACATTCTAGCTACCAGAAGCGGCCATGCAGGTTTTATGGACAATGCTTGCGGGTATAAGTGCACGTGAACACACCCGTGTAATAGAGCGCAGTTGAACTCTACAGTGCTCGCCTGCAATCCTACGGAATGCTGGGCGGCATTCAAATCTGTTGGCACCGAGGAAAACGCGGCCACAACAGCTGTGCAAGGTAAGCCTTACGTACTACTGTGACGCAGTCTGCATCGTAAAGGTTTTAACCATGGTAATGCTTAATTTCCTATCTTTAGGCGAAATATTTTAACCTGTCCCATTGTAGACAGCCACTTCAAGTATTCTGCTCATTCTTTACACTGAAAAATCCTCATGATAAATTAACTGTTACTTTGTAACGTCAACTGTACACAATTTTCCAGTACAACTTAGTACAATTAATTAGCACATCATTACGAGGAAGGAGTTTTCCCCTGCAGAAGCCTTAAAAAGTAATAAAATGGAATGAAATAAACTCTTGGAGGTTTGAATCTAATTTGTTATTTAGGTTCGAAAAATGTGTACTTCAACGCACAGTAAACTATACATTGTATTTTAACGCTGGCTTCAGTTGTAAAAAAACGAAAAATTCACGGACGGGATTCGTAGTTTTTCGCACCTGTAGGCCCTATGTTAGGATCTATTTAATATTTCTGGGTTGTTTTTCAATATGGTGCAGTTTGCAGCCGAACATCCCTTGATTAGGAGACCCGAGGTATTGTCTATCACCCCAGATGGAAATATGTTTCCTGCACGCTGTTCCTCCATCAGCGATGCTGATGGTTTATGTCAGCATTTCCTCAACATGATCCATGAGGTCATGGAGAGTTTTTGTGGGATAAATCTCCAGCATGATTCCTTTACTACCATGAGGAAAATTCGTCGGCTTGGGTATTGCATATCTGAGCACTTGGCTTCTTTCAGACATCCTGCGTCAAGTGCCAAGCCTTTCACGATGTAATGGCGTTGCTAAATTTCGTTAAGGTATCTAGTAATGCCCATTGGATCTTGGACCTTATTACTTTCCCTGTTGTTAAGGGTTACACCTTTTTGTAACGTTTCAATGTAATGCATAGGACGACTTAATTGAATATTATGTCAAATCCACGCAAGGTGCGTCACGTCAAAGACAAAGTGGCAGATGCCCCACAAAATATGCAACTGAAGTGTCATGAAGAGGCCAGCATACACAATCAGCAGGCCAGATGCTTGTTTGAATGTTTGGTACATGGAAGACAGAATATTTGTGAAAGAGGGCCTTTTATTGCCCTAATTAGCATTTCACGGCTGGCTTCATTCAATTTATCATAATTATGTACGTATTTTTTATGATGCTTCTCATTGGTTATCCGCACCCGTAATACGCATACCAAATCCAAGTATTTTGTTTCTATGTAATCTTGAACAAAACAGATATAATTACGACATAGTACAGGGTTTCAGAGCTTGACTTTATCGTAAGTTGCATGCATTTACGCTCGAACTATACCGTTTCATTGTGTTTTTTCCCCTGCTGTTCTGACATTGGCCAAGCCCGCAAAGTGATATCGATATTTAGGCCCACCCCATATATCACTCTTGACCGTCCATGGTACAAAATCTATAAAATCATGTCATATACCGAAGTTTTTTTTAAAGGTGTTACTTGTGCAGTGCATTTGGTTGTACTATCACGGTACTCGATTGCTTACATATGTTACACACGGTCTTTCTTGGAGGTACTCAATTTGGTAAGATCTATGTTTAAAAGTTGAGGTGCTCAATCACACTGTTCTCGCTTCAATGTATTTACACATCTTTTAGTAGTCTCTAGTCCGACTGACGTTGAGGATAATTTGTTCAACCAAGTCGATGGTGGACAAGCACCTCGTACCTCATTTCAAAGATAGGCCGAATGAAAAAATTAAAAAGAAAATCTAGTTGACAACTGCGATAGACCTAAAGAAGTGTGATTTTTCTTTGCATTTGATGCGTTGAGACAGTGCACCTCATCAATTAAAATTTTGGCATTGGGCTGCATTGCATGTGATAATAATGGTTGTAAATTATTTTGGTTTTGGAGCTGTTGATGAAGTGTCACAGTCATGCATTCGGTTGCTTAATTGCCAACATACTGTTTAAATGAAACGTCACCATGAATTAATTGCTTCCAATGTTCGACGAGCCGTAGAAAGAATGTAATAACCATCAATTCTCTGACGCCAACAACTTTCCTATGGTATTTTGAAGGTCACGCGGACAGCATGACTGAGAACGCGTATATACGTCACGTTCGATAAATGCTATCCCGTAGCCCGTGTCTTGGCTGCGACACTTCAGACTGCTCAGGGAGCGGGTATCATTTTGTTTATATACATTTGCCTCCATGAGATTTACCTCTTGAACACGGACAGATAATCAAACTCCATCGCGTCCCCGTGAAGAAAATTTGTGGAGCGGTTGACATTGCCGACTACAGAATGGTAATCGAAGCCAGCATGTAATCCATCTCGTTGACCTTCCGAAAATAACAGGTCGCACCCTGTTTTTATCCCCGCGTTCATCAAATAGTGCGTTGTACCCTGTGTGTTCACGCTGCAGTCGCTTCATCGTCTGTAGATAGTTGCTGAACGCTCTCGTCCATTTGTTATTCCTGGCCTCAAGATTAATCCGACGGGGATTTGGCAAAGCATGGAAATCTATATTCTAAAAATTTAATGAAGACGTATCGCAGATTACTTTATTAAAATTTGATATACTTTGTACAACCTAACACACGGGGGATTACGCGAAGGGCGATTTGCATGCGCCGAAAACAGGCTCCTGTATAGTGAACCTTGCACAATATGAATAGATTTTAATTTAATTCAGGCTTCTATTTGAACTTTCAAACCAACGTCTGCTTCATGTGTTCGTTCTCAGACTCTAAGAAAGACATGGGAACGTGATCTTAATGTTAACTGGCGGAATACATTCTGGAACCGTGATGTGTTGGGATCCTGCTTGCAAACCCATACTGAGGTCTGCACGATAATCTCATGATCGCCGTCTCAATCGCAAGAACTATAACGCTAATGTCTGCTTGCGCACAACGCTAGTTGTGATACGAAGAAAATATCGGCGTCACAAAAATGCCAAATCAATTTGGATTTGAAATGAAATGACATTTTAATCGTGTTGACTTTATAACATTAAAGGTCACCCCAGACAAGTTATTTGTGATATGCTTCCCCCCGCGGTCAGCTGGCAGAGGGTCCCAAAGCAATTACATTATTCGTTTGATTCTTCAGGAAAGGCAAAGCACTAGGGTATGATGGATCAAGCACTGTCCAACCTGTCGGGATGTTGATTGCTTTTAATCTGCAGCGATGATGACTGGCGTCTCTACTCAATTCACCGGCCGACGCGAGAGCGCCCGGAACTTTTACTGCGCGCGTATTTCATGGCCAGTTTCCGTCGTGGTTTCTTTACTTCGTTGACGTGTCTCGATTTAGCATTCACTGCTGGAAAATTGGATTTGTTGCACGGCTATTTGGGAGGAAACTGTGTCAGCACTAAACGGGAAAGACAGCGTCCCTCGATTTGCCCACTTTCCGTTTTGCGGCACCAATTTCGTCACGACTAGTAAGAATGATTGTATTACCAGCAGGCTTATAGGACCATGTTTTTGTACCAAGTTGAATCGCATCACGGGGGACCTTTGGCCCACGCACTGCACGATTACTCCGAGTACCATGAAAATGACCTTCTCTGTCCAAATGCGAGATCATGATGAAAGCAACAGGCAATAGAATAATACCCAGTCAGCCAAGAACAACACCAGAGAGTCGAGTTTTCTCTGAAGGGGAATACCAAATCGTTTGCTTGAGCATAAAGACCAAAGTTGCCTGCAGCCTTTTCTCAAACGCAATATGTGTGTAACCCTTCGGAGGGTTTCGATAAGGATAACAAAACACATTGTGCAGATCGAGCTCCTGAATAAGAGACGTGTTTTTGTTTTTTGGTGTTTTCCCTCTTATGTCGAGACCGAGAAAATAATGTCATCGTTAAGTCGGTTGTCGTTTTGGGGAAATGTCGCCTCTGAGCTGTGACATTAATCCACCATTCCTCTAAAGTGAAGTATCAGTATAAGATGTCAATAAATTTTTAATCTCATACAACTTTGCTCATAGGTGGATGTTTATAATGCAGTCTTGATCAGAAAGAAACTTTCGTGCCGTCACTAATTTTTAGAATGTTTCCCAACAGCGATATATTGGCATTAGTCTTTTTAGGATATTGAAATCATTTGATTGTTGTGATCCACTGGCAGAAATTAAATTCCAGGACTGAACTTAATACATGCATGTTGCTTATTTTTTATTTCATCTATTTATTATTATTTTATTGTTATTATTATTGTTATTTTTTGGCGTTTGTTCACACACCGTTGCCTCGTGTAAACACATGAAAGCACACGAAAGGGATCCCGAAAGTGAGTAAGAAATGACAAGACTAGTTATGGCTATGGCTGTACCATGCAACCCAGCCACTGGTAAAGCCTAGTGGTGTTCGAATCGATAATGTTGTGGCTACGGTTCAGTTTTATTGGCAATATAGACCTAGACAACAGTGTACGTTTTGGACATGGACTGAAATCAAAGATGTCAGATCGATAAGGTTTGTGGAAACTGAGCAGTCTCTGCCGCCACTTCAACAGTGCTGAACTTTGACCGTTGTGAATAAAAACAAGACAGTACAAACGAAATGTTATATTCATGAGTATTGTTTTTAAAGACCCTTTTTCCACGCGGAGTGAATTACCTTTTCACTTGCTCTAATCCGCTATCAAACTGCACGTATGACGAAAACTCCATGCACGAAATGCCGCTTTTTTTTCTCCGAGGGCTTAACAAAACAACAAGGTGCCGCGGCACCGAGATTGTGTTCTTACGGACCCGTCGGGAATCGGACGGAAGAGGGGATTTTGCTCCGCGATGTCCCAGCTTGTCTCTGCCCTTTCGAGAGCGCAGGGTTTGGGTTCCCGAATTAATGCGGAGTCTGCTCGTCCGGAGCCCCGTGACATTTCGGACAAAGTCAGCTTGAATCGAAGGACAGTAGTCTCAGTCGCGGATCAAGTAAACATCATGCTGCATATGTCCCGGACGCTTGTCGGGATTTTTTTTATCGCCGTAAGACAACCGGCCAAGTCACCTTTACCGTAGAGAGCATAAGCACATCCCAACTGAGATGATAATTGAACCCAGGCCCATATACGTAGCTCGCAAGAAAACCTGACGATAAATGTACTAACATTCACTGTAGGCCTAAATCATGTTATGCCCACGCATTTGCCCTTAAAGGCACAACGTCTTGTGACTGTCGATTTTACTCAATGTCAAGTTTTAAATGGATTTTGAAAAAAAAAGTCGATTATTCAGTGGATTATTCGCTAAGCATTTTAAGGTGTATGCCCTTGCTGAAATTTTCTCACTTCCAAATGGAAGAAATTTGTACTAAGAAAGAAGTAGTTGGGAGTGGTAGCCTCCACTCCATCCGTTCTTGATGAGTAAACTAAAGACCAAGACGCAGCCGGTGGATAGGCTTGGGACAGGATGGAAACCCGCCCCTTGCAGTGGTGACACTTTTTATTTTTTAATTTGACCCATGTTTTCAGACGAATTCCCAAAATCCAAACCTATAAGATCTAGAGCAAAAAACAAAAAAAAGTTACATGCAGTGCCGACTGCAGAACTGTAATCTTTAATGTCTGGCTGGCATGCAGACCTCAAAGTATTATTTTATTTTGCATCACGGCTTCTGTCTTGGTGTTTTTCTGGAAGCGAGTGCTTTAAAGCTTTTCGGCCTCCACTGAAAATTCGAGCCAAGCGCTTGCATCGCCGGACAGCCAAAGCAGATTTTAGATCAACAATAGCGGCGTCTTTGCTGTTCGGTGAAATGACATTTTAATGCCGATTCGCTGTTGTGGCTTGTGCTGTGGCCATGGCAACCATCGCCTGAAATGACGGTGTCCTGCCAGCCGGTGCGGCGTGTACTTAGCAAGCAATTATCTTAATGGACATGCAGAAACTGTGACCATGGGCGAACAATTATATCCCAATAAACCACATAACTATCCAGAAACCATGAAATTTATCTGTACAAAGAAATGTAAATGGATGACTGTTTTCAGGACGGGCTCAACGCAAGTTGGAAATACACTTGCCCGTCTTGTCAAACGGAGCAGAGAGAGAATTGTGAAACCATCAAAGTTACGCAAGCTTTCCTGAAAACGTTATTGGGTACACAGCCGTTGGACATGAGAAACTGGTAAAGCCTGTTGTCCGTTAAGTCATAACGTAAATCAACAGCACGCACGGTGACGAGACGGTGCAGTCGGGAGAGAGGTGGTTTGTGACGTCATTCGACCCAAAATTACGTGGTGCTCCAAACCCTAGAATTTATTGTAAAATGCTGCTTTATGTTGTACCATTTCTTTCAGCTAAAACCGACCCTTCGATATATAGCTTTATTTATACATGCATATAGTTTTATTGGCTTGTTAGGAAGGAAAATGAGTCACAACATGCAGGTGAGACATCGTTGAATGTCCGTCATGCAATTACATCTGCATTGTTGAGCCTTGTCCAACTTTATATCTTCATCCGTGACTGCGTTCATTCCGCTTATTTGAGCGTTTCCGTAATGATTGCATATCGTTGGAGACTGTGAGCCGATTGTTTTCAGCAATCAATACAACTGAAGGGGAAGTGGGCCTAATCCATGAGAGACCATGAGACGTTTGGTGGCGACAAACATACCGGTCCTTTTTTACCAGTTCTGAGCATGCGCGAGTGGTACATGAAGTTCTGAGCACGAACAATACCTTGAAAAAGAACCGGTCCTTTTTTTTCTGCCACCAGCGTCTCAAAGTCTCTTATCAGACTCAATTTTGCTACCTCCAGTTTGTTGCTACAACGGAATGAACAGGTAAGCTTTTGCGCCTCCATATTCGCAATGTTTTCTTGCTCTGAATATGTTTAGCTTCTTCTGAGTACAGAAACATAACTGCAACTCTTTTCTGCAGCGCATTCCACTCACCTTTTATCATAAGAGGAGTTATGCAGTTCAGAAGTGCGCAGGCACTGCGTGAAACCTTATCTTTGCGAATGGAGTGAACGATATTTGGAGGTCCTGACAAGCTTCTCACCTGTAACATTTTTTTCACACTAAATCACCCAGCCATTTTCCACAATTGTTTCTCATAAGTTTGGGCCCGCTATGAGTACATCAGTAACGCAAGCGAGCAGGTGTCTGTCCAAGGTCAAACACGCATGAGCAGTCAAAATAGATTTGCTGGCCGGTCGCGTCTTCAGTCAGCTATCGACTCCTTCACGGCTGATCGGCTCTTCATCCGGAACGATGCCAAGAAAAAAAATGACCAGGGAGCTTGAAGGCACCGTTTAACGTGAACTGGAGAAGGAGTCTTTATAATTCACTTTCAGTTACTTAATGTATAATTACTTAATGTATAATAAACCGTAAATGAATTACACTTAGGTCGATCAATAGGGTCACTGACCCCCAGAAAATCAGACACTGCATGTGTTCTAAGCAAATACCTGTATGCATTGTTCAGAACCTTAGAAAATGATTACGTTCGTGCAAACATACTATTTTATCGCTGATACATGAAGTAAGAAGCACTTTATGCTATGCGAAATACTCCCAACTTCAACTCACGAGGCTATCATGTAGAAACGTTTGCTCAGCAGTATGTATTTGCTGTTAAACTACAGCTCAGAGCCACGGTTACAAAAGCAATTCCCATGCAAATATGACTGAGTGAAAGTTTCGATTATATGTCATCATGAGCGTCAATACCAGCTATGCATGTCAATTACGTCGTGGGAAAGAATGTATAGAAGATGCTGCGAATATAATTATCTATAAATATACACAACCAAGGTGCCCCCACACATTTCAATATTCCTATCGGCATAGAAACATCCTAGTTATCAGCAGGGTTTTACCTTTGGACCAGGCCCTGCTCTCCCACACCTTTTATTTAAAGTGTCTTTGTTACTGGCAAGCCTGCCTGTCCGATAGTCCACGAATTTCTGGGGTTTTTTTTCTCAGAAATTCGCAATAAGTAATTCATGGAATTATCCATTGCATCAGCTGTTGATGCCAAGGGAAAATTATCCCATGGCTGTCATCTGCACTGCCCTGACAGAGTCATTACTAGGCCTACATATTATACATATTTCATGGGGAGGTCCCGCTGAACCGTTTGCCATCCCGCGTTTGTAGATTAATATATTACCACAGGCGGCGACGTAGTGTGCTAGGCTATTCATATGTACTTGCTTTTTGGCGCCAATTCACGCACTGTGCGGCTGACGCGTGAAAACCGTGTTGCAAGCATCCCTCACCGATGGGCTTTCTAGAAAGCTCAAGTGTGAGAAGTGGCTCTGTTTTTCGAGTCAAATCAAGCGCTTCTTTCATGATGCCTATAAGAGGTTACACCTAACCTCGTTCTTTTTTTCTATGTTTGTTTTGCCTTCGAGCTGAACACAGAATCGCTCCATAATCGTGATACTGAATAACGTTACCACGGCAAAATCATGTTTTCTATAATAATTGTGTTGGTCTGCGAAGTCAGACCACGTTCCTTTCTTCTCATATGTGGCCTGCAATAAATTAGTAAATGGGAGAAATAAACACAAGCACAAAACGCCACAAAACCATTGAAATTAGTGAACATTCATTTGTTTGAACATAGGCCTATTATTTACATAACTGTTTAAAACCAGGGTACATTTGTGAAACACATGCTCTCTTATATTATGTTGCGGTAAAAATTCACACAGTTTTGGTTGGAAAATAAGGTTCGTAATTATGTCACGGTGTGTTTTATTTCCCCATGGTCACAGCCACGCCACAGGCCCTGTCTTTAAATTGGTACTCAATCGGTACTTGGCTACATTACCGGAGCAGCGCATATACTTGGCTGAAGTGTGTTTGTTTCTGCGTCAGAGCCTATTAAACAATCAGCAAGTTCATGAATATCTTATGCAGTCTCGGGGCCCTTATTCCGTCTGGGTTATCCATCCTTGCAGAGCCGGGAAGATGCAGAGTCCACTGTGTACTTGGACTGGGCACGCGGCCCTGATTCCGAGCACGCCAGAGAGAGGACGGACGAGTGCGTTTATGAAGGGGGGAGCTGAATCCATGTACAGTAAACCGTCACCTCTCTGACCCAACCTGAATCTCTCTGGCTTACAAGGCGGGTCAGGCGCGATGTGGGCCCACTCGAGAGCTGCTGTGCCTCACGCTCGACCAGACGCAGTCTCTTGAGGTTTATGCCTGCGTAAGACACAACTCAGACCGTATTGTGGAGTTTATAATGAGATCGAACGGCAGTTTCGTGTCGTGATAGAATGAATGAGTCCTTCGAGAATTTTAATGCATTATGTTACTAAAGGGCTTTCACGCACTGTTTTTGAATGTCACATCAATTGCACAATCATACAGACTCGCAGGCCTATGTGAAAGGGGGGACCTTTAAAGTGTATAATTCTAAACCATATTTCCAGAGTGGAATAAAGAATGAGATTCCAGCCTCATTGATTCTAATATTTGAAAAATGCAAATGTCTTTGGCTTGTCTGGATTTTGCACGTACAACGCAAAATGTCTCGCTGAACGCCTTTAAAAACCTCCTGTCCTAACAGTGAGAGAAGTCGATGTTTTTCCGAACTCCCGGTCAAACCACGGCATGTTATCGATACTCATGTTGTGCTATTGTCTGTACACCGTCGGAAATCAGACTCCTGGACTGATCTGTACGGATATTGAGAGCAATCTCAGCGACAAGGGCCGCGTGAAGCCAATTTTCTTAAAAAGAATTTTTGCGTCCGAGATTTCTGATGTGAAAAGCTTCACCTCTGGACATTTTTTAAGTCCAACTGGCGATAAATCAGCCACCCAGCCAGCAACAGTATTATCATTGGTTGTCTTTATAATGCTTAAGGCTTACGCTTTCTCCATTAGAGGAGGGGAAGAAATGAGACAAACGGGTACGTCAATTTGAAGTTTGTTTAATGTACAGTCGTCCTCCGCCTGGTATGAGTTAGTTTTACCGTAAAGGTGTTAACAACACGAAAACCCGTAGGCTGTAATTATTTGCTGTACTCACAATGACTTAAAAGGCATGAGGTACAATAGGAAAAAAGTCAGAGAAGAGAACATCAAATGAAAAGTAATTCATTATTCTCAGTGAAGACAGATTTGTCTTTCTTTACAGGGAGATGCAGTCTATTTTGATTGTCCGAAAAGGATGAACAGCAAGGTGTTGTTACGTGTGCAAAATGCAAAGCCGACATAATAATGGCCTTACTCTCCACATGCCGGCATATAGACACTTGATACTGGGCTGGATTTCGGAATGTTTTGGTTGGTGGTTGCTGTTCCTTTTCCTTTAAAGTTGGGATGTTGCTCGTATTTTACTTACGAAGAGAAATAGCTCGGTCGGAGAAAGACGGTAGAAAATGTGGAGAATCAACAATCATCTGTCTCATCCAAACTTCTTCTTTTGTTGCGTTTCTAGAGAGAAAAAAATTACTTCTCACGCGATCACATCTTTTGTGGATCTGGAGGCTTAAAGAGGTACACATCACGTGATACTGGTATTGCGCACTCTAGTCATGATTTTGATGTGTTTCTATTATTCGCGATCTGAGCAGTGATTGCAGTAGGCCATGTTTTGATCCAGAGTTTACATATGCTTGGACTGAAAGTGTGTCATTAGAGCCTACACCTTTCAGATTTTTTAGCCTTTCTTTTTGTCGCTGATCAGCCAGGCAAACCTTGCTGTTTACATAAACCCGAACATAAAAACAGTAGATGTCCTGATTGATAGCGGAATGGTTGCTAGGGATCAAGTTTTAAAACTTGTTACAATCCAAGCGCACACGTTTACCACAACAGTACATGTACATGTGGTTTCCCTGTGTATTACTGAATTTGGATTGACTTCAAAACATAGCGTAGATTGAGCCGTGCTTTGGGTGCACCTGATGCAATCACACGGCGCCAACGACTAATGGAACAAGGGTACGAGGCGCGTTTTAATAATCAAGGGAGCGGCCAATATTGGCGGCGCAAACAGTTCCGTTCTCCGGAGGCTGGGCTCATGTGCACAGAGCTAAGGCTACATATCAGTCCAGTAACTGCTATGTGTAGAGCATTTAAACATTGCTTGTCTCCCCCCCCCTTGTCGTACCACGGGAAATGGAATCTTCCATGTCGAGTACATTCCTGGTAAAAGCACAGGGATACGTGCCGTTTACTCAACGCCAAATGATATTTATACAAGTAAAGGGAGTTGTAGGCTACAAGCACGTTATTGATATAGGTGTATATATTTCAGGGAAAAAACAACGTCATGTCTTTGTTTCTAAATCCAGTTTGATAAATAGATATAGCAGCGGCTAAACGTGTATCAGCCGTCGACAGGAATTCGATGTTTCACTTGTAAGTATTGTGCAAAGTCAAAATGCCATGGTAAGATGATACTTCGTGTATAGTGAAGTGTCAGGGCTGGGGTGTGGGAACGGGCTTAAAGTAGGCTGCTTGACGGTAGATGGTGCAGATAAGGATGTGCACCTCCGCACCACTGGATTTAAACACTGAGATACAGATGCTCATTTCAAATGATGTTTTATGCTAAATGCTTGTTTTAGGCTCTCTGCGCATTAAACAGTGACATATCACACTTGGAAAGTTTATTTAGTAATTATGTTAATAATTATGGCAATATTGCAACCTCCATAATTTACCTACAGTTTTATCGCTGTTTTCTTATACCATTTTGGGGAGTTGCAATGTGCATAGGCCTTACTCGTGCGTATTAACAGGATTGTTGTAAGTCCACCAGCACTGGAATGCAGTTTGAATATTTATGATTTGCCCACTGCGTCTGGTAATGGGAAATGTTTTATAAGGCATCGGATCCCCTAGCGGGGCCCACACGATAATAACAGCGAGGTATTCATTTTATGATGCATAAAACGCGAAGTTAGGCCTAAGTAAATTTGCCTCTGTCGTATCACGTTTGTTATAGATTACGGCACGTGAATTGTGTTGTAACTGGATGTTTTAACATGGAGCCCATCTTTGCCTCCAGTTGGAGCAATTCGCAATTCAGTTTGCCAGGGAAAGACCATTTTCAGCGTCACGGTTGGCGGTTTGCATGCATAGACCACGGTGTGCATACGTCAACGATCACCACCGTGATTTAGATTCCGCCATATTGATCACCCCCTCATTTGTCCTTATCTATTTACCAATGCTAGGCCTAGTACTAGTACAGACATTAAAATCAACAACTCCTCCCTCGGTTGTTTGAAGTGAAGAAGGGTGAAAATATGTAATGTCTTCCCATGCTTGATTCATTAAGCGAAATGTGAAAAGTGGTATAGGCTTATCGGATGCATTCTGCCAACATGTAAGCACTCAAAATGAGGGGCTGAGGAGCTCGCTATGCAGGTGTCCATGATGGATCTGAATTCAATATAATGCTATATTTATAAATTCATCAAGGTTATCAAGATCATCATATGCTGCTATTTGAAAATAAACGAATTGAATGAATTACCTCCTCTGGGGAAACAGTCATGGTTGTCAGAATTTGAGAACATTTGTCTGGTAGCTTTGGAAAGGTCATCTCCAAGGTAGCAGCATCATACAAATCAGTCGTAGGAGCTGGGAGTCTATGTGATGCAGAGGGCATGAAACCCTGGTTGTATTCTGGCATTACCGAAAGTATAGTACTTTTGACCTCTGCCATGAGAGAAAAACATTTAGTGAGTTCTGAGAAATATTTTTTGAGTCATGAGGGTCAAATCCTAACCTGATTTTTTTACTTAAGGTACAAGTCTGTACATTTTACCTTACAAACCTGAAGCACCTAACTCATCGCAGAATGTTTTCTTCTCTTCTTCTGTTGCCATGGGAATAGATGCACGTCTCTTAATACCTTTTTTGTTTTTCTCAACTATCTGTAAAACACGGCCTTGGGAAATAGGACTCTCTTCTGGTCACTCACAGGCCCATCGGGGGTATGGGCGTGCACTAGTGACCAAATTTGGCCAGTCCATATGTGTTTTTAACACAACTCAAACTAGAAAAAGATTCTTTCAGGGTTTTTAACTGTTTTAATTCAACTTTCAATAGCACTTCAAAAATCACCAAATTATTGAAGGTTCATTTTAGTTTTCATATATAGACGCAGTCTAATTTTGAGTCGCTGTATACAACTAGGAAAAGAAATCTTCCAGCGTTTGAACTGTTTCAACTCAAAACAACCTTCAGAGGGCGCAATAACCAGTCAAAAATTTTCAAGACTAGGCCGTTTTCCAATATTCAACTTCGTCTCCGTTCAGGCTTCGTCTACGAAACCAATCTCCAATTGTGGGCCTGAAGTGTGTATATTAAATTGTAAGGTTTGGCTCTTTTGCATCTACTTGATGTTTTGTGGCACTATCAGACTTACTATTGAAAAGTCAAGTAGTAAAAAAAAACAGTTGAAGCGAGACGGAGCCGAAGTCGAGTATTGGAAACGGCCCTAGTACCTGACCGGGCACTGGTCTCTGGAATTGACGCGCGCAGTCACCTTTCAAAGCAGTCACCTTTCAAAGCTAGTCTTTTCTAACCGTGAGAAAAATATGAGAACACACTTTAAAATGGACAAAAATGCCATCCAGTTTTTTAACTCAAGCCGTCCGAATCGATGCCAACCACACTATGATTCTGTCCAAGTTTTGGCTTAAGTCCGAAGCCTATTGTAATCTATTACCGGCACGCTCCCGACTGTGGCGTTTTTCCTGTTAAAGCTTCACTTAGGCTACTATCGGCGATGGAGGTCAGATCTGGTTTATCTTTTGGGGAAACCATTGGGCAGCTTCATAAATCTAGGGTCTATCTTATTCACTTACCTCGGGGTGTGAAAAGTATTACTTTGGCGTGACTTTCTTACGCACAGACAGTGATACCACGGTCTGCGTGGTATGATAACAAATGATGAGACATACGAATTCATTGCTTTTGTGCAACAACCCCTTTTATCTTAAGAAAGTAATCAATGCATGTAAACAAACAAACAAACAAACAAACTCAAGGAATTACTTGTGTAAAATGTCCGATTTAAACAGATGGTCTGTCAGAACATTCCTCACATTGGTCGATTTTCTGTCTGGAATCGATCACTGGAATGAATTGTGGTTGGATCCACTGAGGGTACGAGAGAGCAGTAGCTCGACGCAGTATAGCACTCTGGAATGCTATGCACAATATTTGCCCCGCAGTGTTAGGTAAAAAAAACAGCTTTTATGTCAAAGGCCTTACCAATACCAGCAACAAACGTGGGTGCGCTGACTCAAGGCCAGGCAAAGGAATTGATTGAATCAATCAAATTCATTGATTGTATCAGTGTGTTACCTCATTCCGCGTGAACTTGGCGGGAATTTACAGGAAATATCCCGTTCAGTGTGAAAGTATCCACCTGGTCTTTTTTTCAGACACAAAATATGAGCAGTATAACAGGGTATGGGTTTCAGCTATCTGTCCCAGATGCCAAGGGGCATTGCTCTTGTGATTGGTTTCAGTTTAAGATGTTATACACCATGATGGTCCAGCAATGCAGGTTTTGCCCCCCCCAAAAAAAATAATAGTAATGAAAATAGCCCCCGTTTCAGACAGGCGTTCTAGAGTCGCGACGAACCAAATGAAGAGCAAATTTTGAATTAAATACGGCAAAAGTGAGATGTCCAAACAATGAAGAGCGACCAGGCGTGCTAGCAAGCGAAAGATTGACACCTTGACGTCGCTGCTTTCATGGGCCGAACCCAATGCAAATGCATGTAGGCCAATTAAGTCGGTCTATCTGAAACTAAAATTTAGTTGGGTCGACCCGAGGCGCTATTAATTCTATTTGGTCCGGCGCGACTGCAGAACGCTTGTCTGAAACGGGTATGACATAACCAAATAAACAAAACCAACCAAAACAAAACAAAAAATCAACCAGTGGGCAGATCGAATTCTCCCCTGTAATTCCGGTGCCTATGATCCGACTAAAGCTATCATTAGGATGGTCATTTGTGTCTAATCACGCTCCTTTGCCTTACATAAGCGTCGTGTGATTTTCATGCGTCAATTATTAGGCCTCAATCCACATTCCTTTCCAGTAATGCACGTGTTCAGCACATGCGCAGTAGCACTGAAATTTGAGTCTACAGCTCTATCATGAGTAAATGCAGGGAAAAACAATAATGTTGATGTTAATGCAACAAATAACCCCAACCCCGTATATCCCTAACCTTTGACCCTATCCGTGACCCCATATTTGCACCACTGACGTATCCAAGTTTTATAATGGGGGGGACTATCTAGTTCCCCTATCAACCACACCCATGAAGGTACTACATACATTCATTCATACTAAATACATTCATTTAAAATGTAATTGGCCTGAAGTGGTTTTTGCCGAGGCATTATTTCTATGCATAAATAGGTCATGCTAAAGTTTTTCTTGTTAACCAGTCTCACTATTAACATTTCATTTCCGTTTATGGTAGGCAAGTATAGGAATTTTAGTACTGTATAAATCATTTAACAGAAACGAATGTTTAGCAGTGGAACCTGTTCGTGTATTCCTCTGAAAAGGAACGCGTCTTGTTTTTTCCTGCTTGTTTTGGAACAAATTTAATTTTAGGGAGTCGTGTGTTCGGGGTTCACCAAGTTGCAGCAAATATTAATGCGCATTCCCTGCCTGGATAACGTAAGCCATTCGTTAAGCCTCATTGAATCTTCTTGTTTTTGATGATTGCGGAATTTGACAAAAATAGTGTCGTTACCCGCCACCAGGTTGTAAATTGTAGCCCCGCTACAAGGAACATTGGCTGACTTTATACGCCCAAGAAATCCGTCACGGACCGCGGCACCAAAGTCAAACACTGACAGGTAATGAACACTGAGAGCCGCGGTGATTTATCCGTGTTTTTCAGACAATTCAGATCCGGACTGCTCTCCCCAACCCTCCTCTCTTTTCTGAATGCTGGTATGCACAAGCGAAGACGACCGAGGGATGAATGCAATCAGCCCTGGGGATGTTTGGCAATTTCCCCCCCTGAGGTGTTGATAAGGAGAAAGGAGACGACGGTGATGGTCATGCTGATGCCTTGATAAGACCGCTATCAATCAGCAGATAACCCCTTTGTTCCCTGCGAGACCAATTTCCGCGCGCCACGGTGCGGCAAATCCCGCAAAAAGCCTCTCCCCGTGAGGTGAGAAGAGACTCAACAAGTTATTAAAATATGCAGGCCGAGCTACCGCCTATAAATCGTGCTCGTCCGTCTGTTCGACCCCGAGGGGCGGGATTACAAGGATTTTAATACCAAAGTTCGCTTTTTGATGTCAACACTTAATGTCGAGTGTGGCTGCGCTCGCGCTGTAGGCCTACACTGTACGTCATTTGTGGAAAAAACAACAACTTTGAACTGGACTGCGATTAAACGTGAAATAGCGAGCCCTTATCATCATAAATGTCTGCTGTTTAGTCATCAATCAATTTGAATCACCTTCTATTCGTTTCCATTTATATCTTTGATGTTAATATTGCTAAAGGGCACAGACATAAAGCCAGAAAAGCCTGCAGGATCTTGGTAATGATTGTGCACTTCTTGAGTGTGCTATATGTACATGGCTAAGCAGTGCCAAAATGTTGGATTCTTTTCTACTAAGAAACCCCGCCACTGGTTCCAGGCTACCTCCAACACCCTTAGACATACTACTAGTCTGTCGTCACTAGATACCACGACCATAAAAAATATACTAATGCTATTGCCATCGTCATAGCTATTGTCGTCAAGATCAGCACTATCGGTCATCGTTCTATATCACAACTTACTAATTGACTGCTTTTCATGTGCTTTCTTGCAGCAAGAAAACTGATGACTGTGGACTACCGGTACGCCTATAACCGCAATGATGTTTTGAGCTAAAGACCGACTTCAATTGTATTGATCCGCTGGATTTCCCGACTATAAAAATTGGGCGTGAATACAGGCATACGATGATTGAGGATGGCTACCGCTCTGGAGCCAATGGCCGACAGTGAGGAAGACCTGCTTATTGACCTTCGACCCAAGTCCCCCTACGGCGAACCGCTCGGCAAGTTCCACGTAGCCACGGAATGGCCACAGCCCCTGCCGCGCTCGCGGCACGCCCGCCGGCCGCGGGCCGACGCCCGCTACCGCACCCAGCCGGTCACCTTTGACGAGATTCGCGAGGTGGATGAGGACGTGAGCCAGGTCAGCAGGCCGGCCCAGGAGACGGGCCAGCGGACGGCTGACGCGGCCGCCGACGAGACTGATCACCACCGGCAGCGGATCACGGAATTGAAGTGCCCAATCAAGCTGGAAGCGCTGAACGCTGCCATTGAGAAGATCATGAAGAAACCAGCTGCTTCAGGGGCCGATGAAGACGATATCGACAAACTGACCCACATTCACGAAACATCAGATCCAGCCGAAACAGTTTGACGTAAATTTGTTAGAAAGCCTGCCTCCAATCCCTTACGAGTCACCGATTTACATTGTTTATTCTTCTTAACTGTTGTAATATCAATCCCCCTCTCAATTTTCAATGGAGTTCGGAATAATGATGTCGGTCAAATCTTTTGACAATAGATGAGGTAGGCTACCGACAGAGGGCGCCTCTTGAAGAGAGCAACGAGCAACGTTTGTAGCATCTGGTCGCAACATAAAAGCAATCTCGGGACAATTTTCCCGCGTGAATCAAAATTACTGTTGTAGTTAGCATGTGTGGTACGGTTAAAACCCTAATAAGATATAGTACTTACAGCTGGGAACTCTTATCTAATTCACAAACTGTGACAACCTAAGACACGTGGGGCCCGTCAAGTCCTCTGACGGTCTGCCGATACAATAAGCCTTTTGCGAGTTAAATTTGAATAATGTCTGGCACCGCTGAGTTCTTTAAATTCATGTGAACATAATTTGAATTCTCCATACTGAAGACACTGTTGCTATGCCTCGTGATTCGGGGCAAGTTTTTGCTTAGTTACGTAAGAGACGCCTTGCACCAATACACTGTTTTCAATGGATATGAAGGGTACAAAGGAACCGGTCCATTTAGAGATGGCGTTACGCAAAAGCTATGCAAAGCTTGCCCCGAATCAAGAGATATAGCAACAGTGTCTTTAGTCTGGGAAATTCAAACTTTTACGTTTATGTATAATCAGATACTCAGTGTACCAGATTTTATTCAAATTTAACTCGCAAAAAGGCCTCTTTCTAGATTTGTCCAGCAAATCTCGTATGTCTCCTTGACCGAGGAAATGTAAAAAAGAAAGTCACCGTTTTGTTTATCTAAATCTATTGATTCACAGTATGGTTGCCACAAACGGACCAGTTTACCAGCCTTACTTATCTCTATGGAATCTTGGTTTAAGCATTCCGATCATTTTGTTTTCGTTACTGAAGGAAAATCCAATCAGGCAACTTCAAGATAATTTGAGTTTACCGAACTTGCAAATGCTGACCCTATCGTTTGTTGGAATGCACTTCCTGCTACGATAAAACAGTGTTTCGTGACAATATCAGCACCTACCTGTACTGAGAGTTACAGGAATATCGATAAGAGGTTCACTGTAGCTACGTCGGATCCACCAGTCTTCTTTACCACTGTGAAAACGACTGGTTGTACTTTTGGTGTGAAAGACCCATCGTAATTCGGCCTCCTGTGCGTGTCACGACTACGGACGTATATAAAAAAAACCTGGGCTTGCAACGCTTTTGTATGAAAAAGAAGCCAACCAGCGGCCATTTTACCAAGCCGAATACAAATGCGTAGGCTGGCTTGCTTGTATTGACGTCAGGAAGAACTAAGACAGACATCGCTAGGAAAGGTTTGTATTCGGCTCGGTAAAATGGCTGCTAGTGGATTCAATGATCTCTATAAGCTGATTAAGGGCATTGCGAGTCAAGGTTTTATTATACACGTCCGTGGTCACGACACCTTACGTTCACAAGGCCCCTTAACGGTGCGAAGAACTTGAACATAAACAGATTTGGGGTTGGTGCTGGACAATCGTCACTGTCTTGACCCCGGCTTTCAGAACAGTGAGAAGAACTGTGGGTGGAGCTGTGGGCATTCCATTGAAATTTAGTCGCGTATGCTCCGCATTGTATGGGGTGTAAACCCGTAAATAGGCCCCAGCAGCCTATACACCGACCAAATCACCTTTGTTTACCCTGATATTCTTTGCTTTCGAATAGCATTTTGTGGCTAGTGGACATCAGCAGCGATAAAAAGGAAAGCTTCAACTGGACGGCGAACTTGTCATATTTCTGAGTAATCTTTGACAAACTGGCCTGGGACATTTCGGAAGTGGCTATTTTCAAAAGTGGCGATGAGTTTGATGCTTTTTCCAAGGGAGATCATGTTCGTCTGAAAAGAATCTTGGCAAGCCCATAGTTAGCCTACCTAATTTTTTTTTTGAACAAAAAATGAAAGACGGGGAAATACGCGTAAGACTCAAGTTGATGTACGTTTTTCAAACACCAGAGAGAGTTTTCAGTTTTTTATTAGCATTTTCCCCCCGAAACTTTGCCATGAGGGTATTTTATCATTGCTGTCTAGCAACTCAGTACTGGTCTGCAATCATAGCTGCGAACCAGTGCAACTTTTTGTACAGTAACATGCACGATCATTCCGCCCAGCGGCGTATCTAGCTCTTGGCGTCGAGTTGGGGGCAAATTCAAAAGCGAATGTAGCTTCCTGCTTATCCAAAACGATGTTAGGGGAGAAAAGATATCAAAAGCCTTGCTCAAAACCCACGGAGGAGGGAACCACCGAGCATGGCTGAACGACAAAGTGGATGTCGTGTTTAATCCGCCCCTTTCGGATATTGTGACTTAACTCTTCGTTTCAAAGACCTTTCAGCCCCGTTTGTATTATAGCGCCCCCATTGTTACTTTAGCTTGAAGGAATGGAAGTATCCTTCTAATGATGTACCATGCAGTTTTCATTATTTCTATATTATTTTTCCTTGCACATTTCATGTTGTATCAGTCACTCTACACAGGAAAAGGAAATATCGCTTAAAGGGATTAAAACGGTATGTTTTTATTTGTCCTTCGATGTAGAGTGTATACGTTTGAACTCTACAGTGGTTCGTTATGAGAACTGACTACAAAGATGTGTGGAAGTTTGATCAGGACGTGACCATCGTTGGCCTATTATTAGTTGAAACTTAATGTTAAAGAGTCCACGGTGCAACTTAGCTCTTTGAATCTGAATTATGGAGCCTTCTTGGTTCCATGCACAATTTTCTTCATGAATTCAAAGTCATGAGCAAAACTGCGATGTTATCCCAGGCACTGCGTAACTCAATTTGCTGGCGTTAATTCCCCCCCCCCCAAAAAAAGCTGCTGGAATATTTTGCTTTTTTTGCTGTGGTAAATTTCCATTTCTTTAGTTATTTTACTATTGGCTTCGTAACTGGTATAGACCAATATTAACCTTTTCCCTGAATTTTTTGTGAAAGAGAACATTTTGCGTTCAAAATAATTATGAAAATAAAAATGTAAACGAAGCATTGTTTTCCTTATTTACGTCTCAGCAACAGCGCCCCCACTTGTCCAGAAAAGCTTTGACAATTTGTAATGTTTGAAAACGCGCACTTTTCAATACACGTAACCCCGAAACGATGGAAGACAGTTTGGGGAAGAGTGTAAAGATGCACAAAAAAGTGTCTGAGAAAATGTCATTGCATGGCCCCCATGTTGAAAGAAGCAGAACCAACAATAAAAAATTACTGTCTACACAGGCTCTCAGTGACCAATTGTGACGTTATTGAAGTGGTTTTGTATTTCTTGTCATAATCAAAAGCAAAACGGATTCTGGGCAAGTCGAACTACAAAACTGACGGAAAAACGAGCGAATAACTGGCATTTACTTTGATCTACATTTTATTGCGACCTCGTTCAATATTTCATAACTGGGGGCGAAACAACCGTGCTGCTGCCTGAAACTGCTGCAACAAATTCACTGATCAGCCGAAACTTGATGATGGTGGAACGGATCAAGTGGTGTATGCAATTTTCAGGGATTGAAAGAGACAGCATTTTGGAAACGGTTTTCACTTTTCGGGGTGAGGGGGGGATTTTTTCAAGTAAGAAAAGTTGGAAAGTTGTTGGGGGGGGAAAGATTACTAGACCAAATCTATCTATGGCGGATCACCAGATTTAATGCAACACATCATAATACATGTAGTGCAAAGTACGGTCAATGATTTTTTCTATTATTATAAAATCCAAATTTGACTTTTTACTGGCGTACAATTAAATCGGTATTGTGTTTTTGTCCGTTTTTATTCCACCTTTGGACACCTGTCATGCGTAATGTGTTTACTGGACTTTTCTTCCCTAATTCATGTTTGAGCATGCACATGACAATATCGGGGCAACGAAACACAATGTAGCAACAGTAGGCCTAATGAGACCAAAGATATTAAAAGAGAGCCATTCAGAGCCTAGGCATAAGGTGGATGAACTTCGATAACCACAGCATGCCTGATGAACTCACTGGGGACATGCCAGGTCAGCGAAACTATGTGGAAAGCCACATGAACATGTTCTGTTGAAGGGTTGTGTCTATGATGATCCGATTAATTTTAAATCGATTGTGGTTAACCTACAGTAACATTATCCGTGCGTGCCCGATCTAAGCTTTACGCGATAACCAATCACGTTCGTAACTTCATTGCATGACGCGGCTGAGGAGCCTCGCCTGCTCCCGGATACGAGTCAAAGGATGCAGGAGGCTTGGATGTCCATGTCCAGAAAAGAGGCAGTCATTTTTAATCATGTGACTTTTTTCGTAAATCTGATTGGTTAGCAAAATGTCGCATTCTTATCTGATGGCCGTTCCATACTTACAGTAACATCAGATTCACTGCAATCGAATGTGAAAAAAAATGGACCATGCCTGTTTTTCATTCAACCATAAAAGTTATTGTTCCCCCAACTTCTCGAGAAAATCGTGCCAAAGAAAAAAGATTGCGTTCTTAAAATAATTTTATATTGCAACATTCCTTGGGCATTGGCCTCGGAACGGTATTGCATTGTCAAATACACGTTCATGAACTTCACAACAATGGAAGTAGCATTTCTGAATTTAAAGAAAAATTGAATAGCAACATGGTTCTACTCAGTGTTGTTATTTCACGTTTATTTTAGACTTTTATTTCCTCCTCAACTTGTCTGAAATGTGTAACAAAACACCGGATATGACTCATGAAAACTTCGGGAAAACTAATTGTGAAATACTAATACCCAGAGAAATACATGTATATTATGATGTCAAGCTCATTGTGTATAACTTATTTTCAATATTTTATATATTACTTCCTCCTGATACCTTGCGATGAAAAACTGTGTTTTGGCACAAATAACGAACACAAACAAACATACAGAAATACTGTGTACAGCCACTCACAATACAATTTTTCAAAAAACGTGTACTGTGCCTAAAGAACACCACAGACTATACTAATTAACCTTTGCATTAAACCAAATTTGAAGCGTGTATAATATAATCCGTCAAAAATGTGGGAAGAAATGCTTTCCTGTATTAAAAACTCCTTGCTTGTGCCAATCTGCTCAGAAATACAGGGTCTTGGGTGAATTCATGCACTCGAGCCTTGGGGTGGAGTGGGGTGAGGGGGTTAGAACTTAGACAACACAGAAGAGCTGCTGACGGGAGGGGAAGTGTCTCAGTTAGTCCATCGTTGGTCCGATCACCATTATGAAATTTCACAAGACAGATGTCCCCTGCATTTCCCGATAGTGTCCCCTAAAGAGAGACCACAGCACACAGTATATAACAAGCAAAACGAGCCCGATACTCTGAAAATGCTGTTTACTGAACTGTGATCAGCTGAAGAGAAATAATGTCTTCGTGGTCTAGAGTACACTACATGTAGACGTTCCTGTTTTCTTTCCTTTCAGTTTGAAGAGCTGTCAGTTAAGACGGTGTACTTTGGAGTCCGAGGAGCCCTGAAGTGACGTTCTAGTTGTGACGTCAGTTAGTGCCCATTCTTCAGGGATCGTCTGATGTGAGAAGTACATGAACGGTCCGTGTCATCGATCTGGGGTTAAACATGACGCTCATGCAGGGTTAGCCAACTGCACCATAAACAAAGCAAATTTAATGAAAATTTGTGAAGCAATTCTTAACAATAAAGGCGTTGAGACTTCGGTTCATTTCATGTACAAAATACCTTGTGGTAAGTTGGTATTTATTGATATAGTCCTGTCACAAACACCTTTGACATTATTGCCGGTAAAATGCCTTTCATTGCTATGGTTCCTTTTGTTTCATGCGAAACCGATACAATGACCCCAGTCACAAAAGCAAAACTTTGATGATCCCCAAACAGCACGCCACTGACGTTGCAATTCGAGGCAACGCGACTGAGTCTCGTTTCTGTCTCGCAAAGTCTCGAAAGTTTGCATAGGCCTATTATAATCAATTGGCTAACTTTCATGTTAGAGAGTTATGAACCATAATGAGAACGTAAGTACAATTTAACATCATTAGGAGAAGACAATTAATCCAGCGGGGCAGGTCCAGAATTTTTTGCTGGGGGATTTCGATGATTTTTGTTCGCTAGGGAGTACTGTGTTTGTCACCATTGTTGCAGGCATTTAATCTCTTTTTCATGTCCTCAACCAAACACACAAATATGACCCATGAAGGGTTTATGTTATTTAAGGTGGCTCACAACCTTCAGACGTAGGTCGCAATGAGCAGAGGGGGTTGACCCCCAACCCTCATCCCCGGATCCGCGACTGCTCCAAAATAGAGAATTTTGGAGCCCGTATCCACACCTATTTAACGGCGTTTTGACTGTAGCTTGTTCAGAGTTTTGTGGACATTCCTTTATTGAATATTTCATTCTCTGGCGAACCCAGGATTTTGTCGTGGACGGGGGGGGGGTGTCTCTGACCGGGATTTAGCTCAGTGATGGTCAAGCCATCACCACCCGGTTGCGCCACAAAACATACACTGGGATTTACGGCTTTATCAGAGCTACTACTTTATTAAGGTGCATGCGTATGAACAGTACCTTCGTTTTTCAGAAAGCAAAAGAAACACACACACACACGCACACAAATCCAACACCATGTAACACGCCATCAAAGTGGGGGTGGAGACAATTCCGTTTTAACTTCCCCCACACAACGAGAGAAGCATGTGATTATTTGTTTTAAGATTTTTATATCTATTTCCGTTCTCATCGAACAAAGGGGGGGGGAATCACAACTTCCTTCCCTACTGTGGTGATGCCAGAGGTGAAACTGGACTACTGAAAGACAAGGTTCCACAACAGCATTGACATGACTCCCGAGGCTAGGGATGTCATCCCACAGTTGGACTGCAGGGGGGCGTGAGCCATTATTACCCCCCTCTCTCTAATTTTGGTGGTGAGAAACAAACAAGACATTCGTATTTTGAGGATTTTTGGAACTGTCCCGTAGAAACAAACGGTCGACAAAAACTTTGATTGAATACACCATTTTGCTGTGATGTGGGCAAGCCTTCACTTGAAGGAAACCGTTTCTTTTGTTTAGCAAATTAAGACCGAGTTGTGGAGATATTTCTCTGTCCGCACAACGTTTTCGGTTCTCACGAAAAAGGTGACTCGTCCCCACAACTGCGGCACAAGTGTGGCTGAGCACGCAAATGTGCACAAGATTATGTAGTGGGCCCCCTCCTCACTTTCCAAATGTGTACGGCCAGGCCAATTCATATGATGTGGTCATCCCGCCATCCTACCGGTGCCACTTTCCGGCATGAAAGTGTGCCATCTCTACAGCAGCACTAGCAAGTTAGGAGTCCATCGGAGGGTCCTCACGTTCTGGAAAGTTTTCAGTCCACTGTCCACGATCCCTTCTCCCCACACTTTTTGAGGGGATCCCTTGGTCTTCATAATCTCTCACTCAAACATTATTGTTGACCCCTGACAAAAGCCTTTTTTGTCAGTTACAATCGGTCGCCCAACGTAACTCTGTATAAGGACATCACCAAAACAGTTGGCTTTCATGGAGCGGGAAGTCTACTTTTGGAAGTATGATGTCATCCAGTGTTGAATAGTACCAGGCTGCTCTTGACGGTTTTGTTTAGTCCACGGTGAGAGCTCAGCGATCCACCAAACTGACTGCTAGCGTAGAAGAGACACACCGCATCGATCATCTCTCTGATGTTCTGTCCTTATCACAATTTATGAACTTTTCTGCAGTGTCACTTTTTTTTCTCGGAAATAAATTATTGGTTAACGGTGAAATTGCAAAGCATAAGAACACTTCTCGTGTGTTGGCTCTCACGCTGTCCACAGCTAGATGCGTAACACAATATAGGGCGACAGCGCAGTCAACCTCCCAAACATCAAGAGAAATTTACTGGCGCGGAAGACGACTTCAAGGAACCTGATCGATCCCACAAACCATCATCAGGCATTACTGAAGGGTTACTCACCGTCAACTTAGTACAACAAATTATTGTGACCATAGTTTGCTGTGAGTCTTCGGTGGCAAGCAGGCATTGCGGTTGGTTAACGCTTCACTCAAATTTACTCTTCCGGATTTGAAGATCAGTACATGTACACACTTCTGTCGAAAAGGAGGCATAAAGAAGACATGTTACGGGGACTGATGCTTCCCTTGGCCGTGTTGGCCGTCTGGGTGTCCGCGGGCTTTCCTGGCATGGTCTCGGCGGCCAGGGGCAGCCGTGTCTCGCTGGAGCTCGTCGATGGGAGCTACCGAAACCTATTGATCGGTATCAGCGACAGAGTGCCTGATAGTCCAGCGCTCATTGACCGCATCAAAGATGTCTTCACCGAAACTTCCAAGTTTCTGTATCAAGCAACGAGGTAAGTTGTATGAAAATACACGCCATTTCGCAAGACCACACGACCAAACCGCACAAAATGGAGAAGTGTAGCCCCCTTTCCCCACAGCGACTGGGTTCTAACTTCTTATGATACACGAATGGATCAATACACCACACAAGTTTAAGTCACATTTTTTCATGTAGTTTCATTGCGAAATCTTGCCAGAAGATTCGGTCTAAATGTTTCATTTTGACTCCAAGTCTATATAATTAAACGTAGCTTACGGTACGCGTGCAAACTACAAAGCACCGATTTCGACTGACACCGATTTGCATGCATGAGAGACATGCACACCGGTTATGCTGACCGTAAACTGAACCTCAACATTAACCCTAACACTCCTCAGTCCTCCAACAGGTGAAGGATTGAGGAGGGTTAGGGTTAGGGTTGAGGTAACTTTCGATAAACTTGCGCCGTCGATTCAGCTTTGCTCTTTAAAGCCCCCCCTTCGCCTCCGCGTTAAACTACACGAGTCATGCTTTCAAGGGAATCTGCTGTGAACGACAAGCACAATCGAGCAATATTACGACTCCACGTCAATTAAGGGCCTAACAGTTGCTGTGCCTCAAAGAGGGTCATACGAAGGGTACTAACATGATTGTGCAAGATATGTCTATGACACTTGACATGGACACCTTATCAATTCCACACAGCATGCTGACACTGATCGGGAAGCAGAGAAGACGAAAGAAAAAAGTACAACTTTCAATCCTGTGCTTATATATACTAATCAAAATAAAACCGTGTAGGGGGCCTACTGTTTTTGTAACTAATCCACTGACTATTACACTTTTCTTTTTGTTGTTTTGTTGTGTGATATCGTAAGTTTAATGACAGTCAAGCAAATTTTCTTCTTTAAAAAATCACTTTACAATATCAGTGCTACTATTATGAGGCTATGAAAAATCTCTCTTGTATTTGTATTATGTCCATTTCATTTCCCTTCCTTCCAAAAGCGTGTAAAAAGCCCCCAATTTGGCCTCCTCCCTTATAGAAAGGCCATAAAAGGTTCCATTAAAAAAAATTGTAATTCTTTGGCCCCCAAAACAAGTCCACTGAAAATTTGGTTCTGGATACACCTCTGAACTTTGACTGAATGAACGGACGTCGTGCCTTCAGGAAACCGGATCTCAATCCGAAGCGGGTCAGAAGAATCTGCGCTTTGACGTTCCATACTGTATTCGGCCAATATCAGAATTCATTCGAACTCTAAAAGCACTCGATTTTTTTCCCTACGGTCTGCAAATTTTGTTTGAACAGCTGAAAAAACTCACTCACACAATAGTGTACACGGTAGGGTTACTTCACGGACGAATGAATTTACGAAGCTGCAAGTCACGCTGTTTTTCAATTTGCAGCAGGCAATAAAAAAACCTTTGCCTATTCCTCAATATTGAAAGGCCAGGACAGCGAATTACTTCACATGAACTGAGTGGTCACAATAAGTTTTTCTGCGTGTCATAATCGTCGATAACCCAGCAGTACGCTCGACCATATAAAGGGCACAGAGGACGTCAATACATGTATACCCCTGCCGTTTTGTTGTGTGTTGAATTGATCCAGTAGAAGAAAAAAAAATCGCAGAATTTGGTTTTGTGATGTAACAATTGTTTACCACCTGTAGTCTGGGGCATAATGTGTTCTCCATTCTCTGTAAAGTCAGATGCGGGCTAACCTACAGAGTCAGGTTTTGTTACAAAATTCGGAGAATCAAAAATCACGGATTTCCCCTAAATAGTTTACAGTGAGAGTAATCGTTCGTCGTCGAATTTGTACAAAAGGACACCTGGTTTGACTTGGGGAAAAAGACGACAAAATAAAAATGGGGATAATTCTGACAGAACATCAGAATGTGTAGATCCTGTTTGGAGATAAACTTTGGAGGGCAGTCTTGGTATTACTGCACGGAAAACCACGGGTGTAGAGATCTAAAGATGCATGTGCAAGGCTAAGTTGGTGCACTTTCGCGTGTTTCTATTGAATTTGTTTTCTTCAGTATCACTGCTGCATTCATGTTATGGACTTTGAAATTCAATATTTTTCAAATCCCCAGAAGTAAAATTTACTTTTTTCTCTTTCTCTCTCCCGTGAGAACGAATACGTATTTGAAGTGTCAAACGATGGTGCTTGTGAATCTTGTATCAATGTTCCTTGTTTTTACGCATACATATTTGTTCGACGAGTTTGGTATACCAGTTGACCACAGACGAAAAAAATGTTTTGGCCAAGCGCATTAGTGTGTTTTTGAATGAGTAACTTAACCTCAAACGAAGAGAGGGTGGAGTTCGCACCCCCTCTTAAATTCTTTTCGATATCCCCATGGTGCATTTTTTTCACAAGAAAAGCCTTCAGGAGTTTTTACAGTAACTCTTTGCCGTCAGTTTAAAAACCAAGTTCTCGCACAGTGTTCTCTTTCTTCTGGACAGTTCGACTTAAATTGTATACTTTGATACTGAAATGTCATATCCCTCGATCTTACGAGAAACTCAATATAGGCCTAGTATAGGGCATTTGTTACTGCCGGACCGACTTTCTGGAATTCTTTGCCACGCCAGAAAAAGAAAATTACAAACGAAATGATTGCATATTTTTTTTTCGTTTTTACGTTTTTTTCGTTTTTAGACAAATGTTTTGTTGAATGCAAGACAAGTTATTCACACATGCGAGTTCACCTATGTTCAATACAAAATGTTATCTCCGTCAATTCAAAAGCGTAGACCCATATTTCTGAATAGTAATCGGACAATAAGGCGAGCAAGGCTGCTCACTTTGTCCTTTGCCGTCTGTTCCTTTCATTCAAATTATGCAAGTTATTGAAACGCATGCATTTTGACGACTTCTTTCACGAATTCGATGGGAGTGTTGAGTCATGGGTAGCAGCATTGTCAAAAGTCTGTGCTGATCGATGGTAAATGGCTGGATAAGAATGGTACGGTGCCCCTGAAACGCCATAATGAGTTTCTTTAAAGGAAATTCTACACTAAGATGTGGTCGCCCTGCGTTAAAACGACCATACCGATCGATCGGTGATTTCCGTGTTACAGACTAAAACGAGGAACAGCGCTAGCCGCAACAAACTCAGTAACAGTTTTGCTTGGGAACATACTTCTAATTTTTTCTAATCTTAAACACTTTGATGCTTTAATAGCTTTCATAAGATGTGTGCTCTTTTCATGTCTATATCATTTCTGCCAAAAGAGAATTAGTTACCTTAAAATGTTGTAGATATTCACTTTCCAACGAGTTTTTGTTTTGTTGTGGGATTCGACCATTTCGGCATATCTCAGACAGGTTCCCCGGCAGCGTAATAATTCACTGACACGTAGAAAATAGAAAATGATTTCGCAAAATATGAATGTTGTGACTTAATTAAATGCCCGCACGCCTGAAGTCTAATAGGAAAGTACACGTGAGTATTTGTGCCATCGCATCAATAACGTCTTCTATGAAGGCTGCCAAGGGGTTTCTGCCTGTTAGTGTGCAGGTTTTTGTGTTGCACGGCAGATCTAAGTTCACAATCCGTTTATTTTTTCATGCGATTCTCTCAGGAAGCGGGCTTACTTCAAAGATATTCACATTCTTGTTCCGGAGAGCTGGAGAGAGTCCTCCGACTATTCCAGTGCAGAATGGCAACGTTACGACCAGAGTGACGTCATGATCGACTTCTCAAAGGATGGGAGCACGAACAACAATCGTCCATATGTCTACAAACCGACCCCGTGCGGGGAGCAAGGCGAATTCATTCACCTGACTCCCGACTACCTGCTTTCAGAAAATACTGCCCGCGCCTTTGGACCCTACACGAAGGTAATTCTTTAATGACGCGATTCAAGCATTATATTTCCTTGTCTTGCATCTTTCTGTCACTGTTAAGCAAAAGAAACGTCTTCCATTTTCAGAGATAGTGAGAGAAAAACCGTCAGCGTAAAGTTTTATTCGCTTTGCAATATTCACGTGAGTACAGGTCAGACTGGGGCGTGATGCATGTGGCGTCACTTTCCCAGTCTATATAAAGCATGCCCCATTGTGCATAAAAGCTATGTTTTTTCCACAATTTACTCCAGTCCATTTTTATCGTACAAAGACATTAACCCACGAATGGGCGCACTACCGATGGGGTGTATTCGACGAATACCCGCTCCAAAACGGACAGCATTTCTACGCCGACGCCGAGGGGAACATTGAGGCTGTGAGGTGCGTCTCGAAAATACAGGGTAGGTTGAACAGTATTCAAAATGATGGCCGGATAAAAGTGGTGTAAAATACACACAGTGCCGGAGTGGAATCGGTGTTTCTACACTTGGCTAATGTAGATTCCGCGTGGTGTAGTTTGTCTGTTTTCATTTGTTTGTTCGATCATATGCTTTTCAGTGGTTAAGATAATAGGTTATTTGCTGAGATAAATATAATTCTCACCCAAACAGAGACCTGAATATTGTTTTGGTAAATTTTCCGATTGGGAACCGTAACCCAATTGGGGACCAACATTAAAATTGTCAGCTGTTTAATGTTCGTGATTGAATGTAGACATTACCTCTCTCGTTTATAGACAAAGTCATCCTCAACAGTGAAAGCTCGCTTAATACAATTGAATTTTACCCAGATTCATTTTCTTGCACGCACTTCTACATCAGGTGAACGGGTGAATCCAAAGAGGAACTTTGGGCCTTGCCAGGAAGACGAAAATGGGCTCCCGGAGCGGGACTGCCGGTTCCAGGATGACTACCGTGCAACCGATTACACCGGCTCGCTCATGTACAAGCAGTTCTTACCCGCGGTATTAAACACGCTCTCGTATTTAATCTTAGTAAATTCAAAAACATTTCAGCATGGGGCTCTCATTCCTTGTCTTTGGCATACGGATGACAATCAAACGTCTTGTCGCTGGCCTGAAGATAAGATCAGACAGGCGTAACGTACAGCCGAAGCCTTGCTTTGAAAGATGATCCCGGTGCAGAGTCATCGGATAAGCCTACTAAGTATTCCGTCTCTAAACTAGCGTCCATATTCTTCAAAGCTATCATTTGATTCAAGAAATATCGAAAAGCACAGAGGCCAGAAACAAATGCATTAATTTTCAAATTCTTGCAAAATTGCAGCATTGACAATTATTGTTGCTGAAAAATCCATTCCACAGACAGATAAGACCCTTTTTCGATTAATATTTTTAATACGGCCATTTCACAACAGTGCGCCACCAGGAGTTTGCAACGCATTGGCCTATCACAATGCGCGAAATTTGTCGATCCAATGTGCGTTTGGAAAGGGTCGACAAATTTCGCGCATTATTATTGGTCAACGTGTTGCAAACTCTTGGTGGCGCACTATTGTGAATCGCCCTTATTCTAATACGGGTTCTCTTTTGTAGATTTCAATTTTCGGAAAGTAAGCCTACTTTTTTCTTTGAACCCAGATATCAACTTTTTGCGAGAAAGCGGCCAACGGTGTGCCGGAGGGAAACGCGCATAACAGAGAGGCGCCTAATGTGCACAACATCATGTGCAAAGGGAAAAGCGTGTGGGAGGTAGGCTCGAATAATGCGTCAGTTTGCAACAAAAAATAAACAAACATGCAAACAAACAAAATATAAGAACTAAGCTGGAATGACAAATGGGTATTCCAAACGACACTCACAAAAAATCTCTGTTTGCGGCGGAGAATTTCTGTTGAATCAAGGTATACAGTCAAACCTCGTTAATTAAGACCAGGAAATTGTTAGGTCCCAATCCTTTCTTTTTCATTGTTTTCATTCCTGATAATACAAGGTTCCTGTTAAAACAAGGTAATTTGCCACGTCCAAAGGACCTCTTATTAACGTGGTTGGAGTCTACTTTTGAATTTTTTTTTTCTAAATAGGTGATGCTTGAACATAGTGACTTTGCTCCGGGGAAGGGTATTGCGAACAACGCAAACGACAGGGGTGAGGAGGACTTCGAGCCCAACCCCGTGCCAGAATTCACGGTGGTCAAGAAGACCTCCAGCCGCTTTGTCCTGGTCGTGGACACCTCTGGCAGCATGAAAGGACAGAGACTGCGCCAGCTTAAACAAGTACGTCATCTGGGTGGGGGGTTTAATATGAGTTTCGAGGATAATTAAAAACAAGTAGCAAATAAACAGAGAATGACTTCTAAGTATATTCTCGAAATAAACTGGATCGATTTCTTTCCCCATAATTAGAAACTAAAAAGTTTCATCAGGACAATGAAGATTAAAAGTATAGTGGTAGAAAGAGTATCAGGATCATAAACGACCACAAAAATGTTGTAACAAAAATAATTTCGATAAAATCGTAGGACAACACAGAGTCGCAGGACAGCTACAATGCAGTGTGAAAACATCACAGCAAAAGTTAGCTTTTTCCTGAAGCCTGGCTACCACATTATTATGACTGTATCGTCACTTGCAGATGAACAGGGACGGATTAAGTGTTTCGTAGGCCCTGGCCATTAGTGTTCCTTAGGCCTTACCTTGCTCTAGGTTTCCTTAGGCCGTACCTTGCTCTAGGTTTGGACTACTCTCATCAGGCTCCTGGAGCTTGTATAATGGTGTCCGTAATGGTTATCTATGCTGACCGACCCTTCGTTTTTGTTTTCTCCGACCGCACCGAGGGGGAACTGTTTCAATGCCGCCAAACCCATCTGGAATGTCCTACCGAGAAAAAATGAAAACAATGATAAAAGAAAACTTTTATGATAAGACCGACCAACCAACTCTCCCTCAATGTCAAAAAGATATGATAACTATTACGGACAATAACCAAGTGCACCCGATAAGCGATGGACTTGCCTTTCATGCTTGTGCCAGTTAAGCTGTGCGAAGCTATGGCTGACAGTCAGGACAAAAGCACAAGAACAATTCACAAGTGTGAGCAAAACACCAGATTCTAATAACACGTATTATTAAATACAATGAAATGACAACCCTCCTAATAAGATTTATGGGACTTATGCATATCTTGAACGAAATTGAGGTAAAATTGAAAACCAACCAAGAGCGATTTTCCTGTAAACTCTGGCCGTCCATACAAATTGTAGGAAAAATGAGATTGGTCTATTCAGTGCATTTGACCGATGACGGATTGGTGGTTGGGTAGTTTGCAAAAAGAGATGATCCATCATTTTTTTTCAAATTATTGAATCTATTTGCAATTAAATAATTGGATAAACACTGACTGGATGACAAACATTCGATGACCTCACAAGTTGTTTTAACTTTGGAAGCATATTAAGATGCCCCTCACTGACGTGAAACCTAAAAGAACTGGACTCTCGGTGCTGTCTGGGAGCTTGCCGTGATACAGAAAACTTGCTTGATTGGGGGACCTGTTCTAAAAAAAATCGATTTTCCTCCAACGCCACTTCCGTCAACATTGATGACATGATTCCATGAAATTCCGAAGGTATCTATCACGACTGCACACATATTTATTATTAATTTTGTTGTGGCTTCTGTCCCTTCTTCACTGAACATAGGCAGCCGATTTGCTCATCAGCGAAATCCTGAATGACGGAGAGAAGCTTGGGATTGTGGAATTCGCAGAAACGAGTAGACTCATCTCGGGTCTTCAATCCATCAACGCGATGAGCCGACAGATGCTCCTGAATAAGATAACCTCCCTTGACGCCAATGGCTGGACGAGCATTGGAGCAGGTACATAGTGTTCAACCTCCGTTCTTAATTTTAACCCTTTTCGCCACTGTAGGACATTTTGATTTGTCCAAGTCGGATTCATCTGGCAATATTTTCTAGTTTCCGTGTTCTAAGCACTTTTTTGTTTCTGCCGAAGACACGGCTTTACTCTGAGATGGATTTTATCGTCCACAGGTGATTTTATTCATGCCATGTATGGGTTCCATTACCATCATGCAATATCTAAAGATAATTTTTTATTATATTGCATTTATCAATGCTTCCACTGATTGTTTATACAACGAAATCAAGCCTCACGATCTGTGAAACCTTCCATAGTATTATTGTTTAATGAAAATAAGTATCTTTGTTCAACACTGGTTTTATTATAATTTTTCTTCGTTAACACTGCTTTTTGTGCTTGGTATCAATTTCTGGCATAGTGAATAAGTGAAAAAAAAGAAAATGCTTTACCGTTTAATTTTTCTATATGTAAAAAGGTGACTTGTGCTTGGATTTGTAGGGGTTGTAGGCGGCTTAGAGGTATTGCAGGATGGCTCAATGAATGCTGAAGCTGCTGCAGGGGGAAAGATGATAATTATCACTGACGGTGAAGAGAACGAAGAACCGTATATTAGAGATGTTCTCCATTTGGTAAGCGTTCATGATAAATGTCAAAGATGATAGAAGTGATTGAGGTGGTAGTGGAGGTGGTGATTATAATGTGCTTGTTACAGGTCGTAATGGTGACAGTGGTTATTATGTTGACATCAATTGTATTGTGGTTATTGTGACCACGGGTCACGAGGGTGACGATGGTGGTGGTCATTGTATCGCATAACGAATGGTTTGAGGAATATAGGACATTGATAGATGCATGATCTATAGCGATGATGGAGATGATTATGATGGGAGAGTATGGCGATTTGTTGTGATAAATGGTGCCAACAATGCCTGTGATTTGTTGTGAAACGGGTGCCAACAATGCTTGTGATTTGTTGTGAAACGGGTGCCAACAATGCTTGTGATTTGTTGTGAAACGGGTGCCAACAATGCTTGTGATTTGTTGTGAAACGGGTGCCAACAATGCTTGTGATTTGTTGTGAAACGGCGACTGTGGTCAAAAGTGATGAAATCAATGACAGCGATACTAATGAAGATGCCATCGTTGGTAGGCCTGCTACATTAAGGGGGGTAATTTTACCGATCATACTCGCGTAAATGGTAGGAAATGTGTCTCAACATGTTTGGCCACATAGGAGGAGAGTTTGATCATTAAAGCAGTGAACAGCAGGTTCATTAATTTTAAAAATGACTTGATGAAAATAATGATACCTAGACATTCTGTTTTTCTTTCTTCTGTCTCTTTTAAAATTCCCCCATGCAGGTGAATGGTTCTAGCGTGACAATATGCACCATCGCAATCGGACCCGACGCCTCATCGGACCTTGAGCTTCTGCCTGCCCTCACCGGCGGCACGGCTTACTCGCTGAAAGAGGAGTCCAACTCACTTAGTGATGCGTTCAGCACGATTCCTAACACAGAAAAGGGTAAAAATGGAATTAATAACTGGGGACCACAATCGGATGTATCGACCAAAATACATTGAGTAGCAAAGTGCTAAGACTCGATTTATTGTGATTTAAATCTGGAAATTAGTGAATATTTCTACAGGCATAATTACGTGCGGTTACCTTTTTCACGGACAGAAACGATATTTAGAATGATACACATAATTTGCCGGAAAAAGAAGAGCACAAAAAGTTAAATTTACTGCCCAAACACGGAACATGGAAACAAGCGCTAAAAAGACTGTTAACAAACAAACAGTGGATTCTCAGCTCTTTTTTTCCGCCCACACAGACATAACTTCCACGCCGACCACTGTGTATTCGGAGTTCATTCAAATTCCAGTTGTACAACTTTTCACCGACGCCGTCTACATAGACGCCACAATCGGCAGTGACACCCTTTTTGTATTCGGGCACACCACTGCGAATAGCATAAGCGTGCGTGTCACCGATCCGACGGGAAGGAGGATCTCTGAGGGGTCCCCCGAGTACGACGCCAATCCAACCATCCCGCGGGTTCGAGTTGCTATCACTGGTGATGCTCAGGTATATTGCAAAGGAGAGCTTTGAACTGCAGTTACTGGTCTTGTCGTCCCTTCTAGAACTGTCACTGGAAAATGTCAAAATAAAAGGCGACAAGCTGAGCACTTCATTGTCAAACCAGTGAAATTACGTCATAGAATTATGTCCAATAAAATCAAAGCATCGTTTTTATCAGCTCTACCTCCTAGTAAAACTTTGCTGGAATTTAGCTAGAATCAGCTGTCGTCACCTCAAAAATGTTGCTTAATTGTATACCCTACCAAGTGTTTAGGACAGAAGTACTCAAAAGCGTAGCCCTGATATTTCAACTGACATTGGCTAAAACGTGAGCAGCATAATGGCCCGTTTCCATTACTTTTATGGGGTTTGCCAAATTAATGGTCACTGCATAAATTGCACATTGAAGTAATTTTTTTTCATTTAACGCATTCGGAAATAATTTTGCCAGAGATCGTCTGTGGAGCACAACTTGGCTGCCCGAACCTCTGGGTAAAGATCGTGGCTACTTAAATCATTAAGATAACGATGCGATTGTCTCTGTTGTGAATCCACAGGTCGGGCAGTGGACATTCGAAATCGAAAACAATCAACAGGAATTGGAGAATGTGACTGTGCTAGTCCAGAGTCAGGCCCGGGAGAACCAGGAGCCCATCATGATCCGGTCACAGTGGCGACTCGCTAGCGTCGTGCCGCCACAGACACAATCTCTCTACGTGTCCGTCGGGCAAGGTAAAGCCTTGATCAAGCCCATTACGACGCAGACTGCATGCATTGCTAAAGAGCTCCGTTTTATAATAGGTTGCTAGTCAACCCATAAATGCAATAAAGGCCCTTTCCAGCTTGCTGAATCGTATTGGAATTAGCCTGGATAGGATTTCCAGTTTTCGTACGGTTTCAACCCAGGTCCAACACCAGGCCGATAAACTTGCTAATTCTTTACCAATGTAAAGAGAACAGTTACTATCTAGTGGTAGTTTTGTTTAATATGCAAAACAACTTACATTTCTTACGTTTTAGCAGTATCAAGTGCACTTCTATTACATTTCAGGGGAAAAACTTGTAACTTGTACAAACTCTACCATTCAGACCTTTGAACAGAATTCACACCAACTTCGTTTCATCTACAGTTTTATCACTGACCCTTGTCATGCAGCGTTTTAGTACAAAGTGGAAATATGTAGTAAATTTGAGGCTTTGGATATTTTCGTTAGTGTCCGATAAAAAAACGTTTAGCCACAGATCCAGAAAGTAAAATCTCCCGTGCTTCAAGCCCGTATGTGCCAAAGTTGATTACATGTACTTTGATTTTTGTTTCCTTTTTTTCATTTCAGGGTACACACCGGTGGTCGAAGCCGACGTCAAAGCTGTCGTTGACCTACCCTGCGGAAACGGAAACGAATCGGTGACCCTTCGCCCGAAGGACAATGGAATTGGTGCTGACATCCATAAGAACGACGGTGTCTACTCTTCGTATTTTACCGAGTTCTGTGGTGCGGGAAGATACGGTGTCAACGTAAGAACCTTGTTTAACATACCAGTCGATTCCTCAAAAATGTCATATGGCTGCGTTTGAATTAGTGGCTCCGGCTTAAAATCATACTTGTATCTATTAAAGACATCCGTGAAGCTGGCTTCCATATAGGCTGTTATCAATACGGGCGATTCACAATAGTGCGCCACCAAGAGTTTGCAACGCGTTGAGCAATCACAACGCGTGAAATCTGTCGACCCTTTTCAAATGCGCACTGGGTCGACAGATTTCGCGCATTGTTATTGCCCAACGCGTTGCAAACTCTTGGTGGCGCACTTTTGTGAAACGCCCGTATTCCAGCCGTTGTTTGGACGCAGCTTCATTCCCATCTATCGTTTAGGGGGGCAAAGGATGGACTACAGCTTTAGACAATTTCCCGGTCACATTAGACCAGCAAAGTCCGACACCGTTTCAGAACTGAGGTTTATGGAATCAAAGCTTAAACCAGCCCCTGTGCTCACTGATTCCAGATTGAGGTCATCAACAATGGCGAAGTGACCTCTGTGGCGTCCGGTGGCATCATTGGCGTAGGTGCCGCTATCGACCCGGAGCTTGCTAGGGATGGATACGAGAGGGAAAGTGAACTGAGAAGCACCGGCGATTTCCGGCGGGTCACCCTCGGTGGGAGCTTCAAATGCGAGGGAGCACACATTTGCAACGGTGAGGACTCTCGAAATTTCGACGTTCTTAATTTATGTAACACTAATATAAAAAAGAGCGTTACAACAGTAACAAAGGGAGACGGCCTTGCCCGCCTAAAAGGCCGTGCAGGTTTGTGTGTATTCAAGCAAACTCTTGCATTTCACCTATATTTCTGTCGTTTTGAGTAAGGATTTCGAAGATGGATGTTGTTTGAATCATCTGTTCACCAGCGAGGCTCTGCAATCAAGTGACTGCGAATTCTCAGCCCAGCTTAGTGGAATCAACCTGTACTGCAGCTCCAGTTGGCTATACAGTTGTCTGCCTTACAACCGGCAGCGAAAGGGGCCATCGTTTATCTATACATGTAGTTGATAATGTTCTGAAGTCCTGCGGATGCCGTAATGAGTGAAATGCCTGCGCGAAATTGGTTAACTTGATGAGCACAGCAGGGAACATTAATATGGATCACTTCTGTTTCCTTACAGCAAGCACGGATGTCTACCCCCCGGCTCGTATCACTGATTTAATGGCCACAAATGTTGATCCTCACTCGAAACAGATTAAATTGACCTTCACCGCTCCAGGAGACGATCTGTCTACTGGCAAAGGTATGAAATACATGTTTTTCTGAGTATTTCAATGCTGCACATTATTTGCACGGATGTTAAAAGAAAACAACAGATCAAACTGTTTGTAACCTCTTAAATTACACAAGAAACGCAAGTGTGAACACACTGATGAAAAACTTGGCCCGTGGAAACAGCTCTCTCCAGAACTTGAACTTGAACTGTTTATTCGCTACCTTTAATGATGGCAGCCCATTCCAAGTCCCAAGTCAGCGGTTCGCTACAATGGATAGAGAACATAAAAGTACACCTTATGTAGCAATACATGTACATAAACCTTAGTCAAAATCCATTATGCTGAAATAAAGAAACGGTTGACTACACATCCCTATGAATAAATTTACCCTTACTATGTGCCCCCATAAACTGTCTTACTGTGTAAATGTCAAATGACCGCGTGACTTATGATATAAGTACATATACATGTAAATCCGAGCAGTAGTGTAATACATGAACCCAGTAATAACGGCCCTTCATAATTTACTAGCGTTACAACGTTCCATTATTCCTCCCAAATTAACCCTTATTCTCCAGATGACCCTTAAGCTTATTCTAATATCCCTTTATGACACATAATATGGGAGGATTTCTTTGTCTTACCAACTGTTGCATTCCTGGGGGTTTACTTAATCGAAAGGAAAGATGTCGCTCATGTACGTGGTGGATCATCGAGTGGAAGAAGCGAACGGTGCATTTCACTAATTACCCGAAAGAGGACGCTATAAGAGTTTTACGCCGCTGCACTGTTTATACTTAATATCTGGTTTAACGTTTATTCAAACATGTCTTTTTACTTTTGCCATTCTGTGTCCAATTATTGATGCACTTCAATTTCTAAATAAGGACATTTAGCGAAAAATCTAATTCCTTGTTGAAGATTGATTATGATTCGATGGTAAACCTAAAATTAAGCATTTTATGAGGTTGTTATTCCACTTGTCGATAATAGATTCAAATTTTACAACTTACAAAAGGTCAGTAAAAATACCACCCAACGATTAGTATCATTAGGCCCAAAAAGTCTCCGGTTCTTGGTCAGGGCTGGCTCCAAATATGGGGCAACAAAGCGATTTTGTTTTTCTTTTTTGCCCTCACTTTATTTCCTAGAAATGATGTACACGCACATGTGCTTTGAAGCACATGGCCTTACTACTGAAATAGACTGGGCCCCCTCAATATTCACCGTTTAAAAGCGTTTTCTGCGTGTAGATGTATTTAGGACATAAGACCAACTCGTTGTCTAGTTCCCAGATGTAAATGTATAATAGAGCAATGGCGTCATATGAAAAAAAGTTCCCAACTAACTGTATGGGGGCCTAATGGAACTCCTTTACTGTACTCTTTTACTCAACCTTGCCCCATCTACAACATCTTAAAAATTACACAGTAGCAGAATTCCAGTCTGTCAAGTAAGTTTGGCAGCTTTTGGACACTGTATTATACCATATAAAAAATTTATTTTGCCGACGCGCAGGTCTACGGCGACGCACGATTTGACCAGAAACCGGAGACATTTGGGGCGGGGGGGTCTTATGGGCAAAATTTGATCGATGTTTCGGCAGTTGATACTTTGACCGAAGTTGAGCAAGAGTTTGATCATGTTCTGACCTTTGGCACCCCTCTTTATACAAGAGATAACTTGGTGGTATCTGTTTCCACAGCCTCGCACTACATCATTGTGATGTCACGAAGCGTCTCCGACATACTCGACAATTTTGACAGCGTGTCAGAGGTGCCCTTGGAGAGCTACGCCCAGGGCAACGTCATGACGACAAAAGATGCCGGTGAAACCGAGGTGTTTGTCATCCAAGTGACTGATGTCGGTAAGGGGATGAAAATCTATAACGTCAGACGTCACATAAAAATCTGGACTCGCGATGCTCTTAATCAGCCTGCACGGGTCAAGGAAGCCATCGGCGGCCATCTTACCGTGCCGAGTACAATTATAATACAAAGGCTTGTTAGCCTTTGATATAAACGAAATCCTTCTTGGCAACCTTAGTTACAGTGGCGTGCAAGTCAATGATCACTTTTGTATTAGGTACGGTAAGGTGGCCGCCGGTGGCTTCAATTGATACAAGAGCATTACGGGGTCAGACTTTTTTGTATGACGCCCGCAGGAAATACCTTGGGGTCTGTCACTCTTTGGGGAAAACATATACTTGAATCAAGTCGAACTTACATTTCTCTTCCCCAGTCAGCCATCACTTAACATAACGTACAGTACACGGTCGTCGCGCTCGGCCGCTCGCATAACTTCTTATAAGGCACCCTCATCATCTGATAGCTTGTCCGCGATATCCGGCGTCAACGTCAGAGATTGTACAACGTGTGTCACCAGTCTGTAAGTCCGACTTGACGGATAAGCCAATCAGCCCTACTCCCCGTCGGTGATATGTAGTTCGTCATAATTGCATTTGAACGACATGACCTTGCATAATGTAAACGGAATTTCAATCAATTAAAGAAGTCTGACTTGGGATTTCAGCCAAAGGAGCCAGACTTATAGACTCTTTCATTTTAATTGAGGTTTGAACGATGTAAAAGAAGTCCAGCAATTTGATTGGCTGCTACGTCTTTTAGCGGATGAGCTGATTCACTGTGTACAAACGGCTGGTAGATTCGTCAAGTCAGGGGTTCTGAACTTACAGAAATGAGTGGACACAAGAGGGCGTGAAGCAAGTAAAGACACGTGGCCTCCATATCCAAAGCATAAACACAGACAATGTTACGGAAGATCCCGACTTGAGTCAAGTCCAGGGAACACAGAGCTTTCTAGGTACCCGTAGAAAGAAACCCAACCCAAACTTCAAAGAAAGAAAAAGAGTACATAAAAATGTAACTGTTTTTATTGCACCTCTGCAGGGAAGTTCAGTTACTCCTTCGCCGTAGTGACGGTGGATGATGTTGGCAATCGAGGCGAGCCCTCAAACGTCGCCACCTCATCAGCACGCGAAAGACGACCGGTGCCAGGAGTATCTCTCCCACTGGGGCTGGTCGTCGGCTGTGTGGTGGGTGGCGCTGTCCTCATGCTCCTCATGGTGATGTTGGCGGTGTGCGCGCACCGCAAAAGACGACAGAGGGGAGGCAAGGGCACCCCCGAGACCCCCTGGATTGATCAGGAGAGCTCAAGGCAAAGGCTGGAAGGCGGGCGCCAGGCGACTCCCAGGGAGAACCAGTACGTTGGCAGCAGCGTCGCGACCGTTCCTGTATCCCCGAGCAGTGGTCCAATGAAGCCACACACTGTCCCTCTGAAGCCACCCACTGTCCCGCTGAAGCTTCATACTAAGCCGGTGAAGCCACCCATTGCTACTGACCAGTCGAAGCAACCTACTGGCCCGCCTAGGCCACCCTCTGTCACCGTCCCGGTCTTCCCTCCCAGTGATCTGCATGACGACGTCACCGGCCGGCAGCACGATCTTAACAGCCACCTGTACGACCACGTCATCAGCCGACGGGAGAGAGACCCCAACTGGGACCCGACCCTGCCGAATAACAGCGAGGGGGGCGGGGCAAATATCAAGGCGGGTCACGTGGCCAATACCAGGGCTGCGTTCGACAACTTGGGATTCATGAAATAGGTACGGCAAGATGCGACGATCTCCGACGATTTGGGCAGGTAGCATTTACTAACACGAGAAATAAATCCATTGTCAAATTCGTTGTAATCGCCGTCAACATTAACGGCTGGGTAAATATACACAGAAACATAGCGTGGCTTCCATAAAACCAATGTGCAAACGTGAGACAATTTTTGCTTCCTGAAGAACATATCTATGATTTGAAATTTCAAAACTCTTAATACTATTATCATCAACGTCGTTTGCAAGATTTGAAGAACAGGGCCTGGCATACAAGCTTGTTCAGCAAAACCCCATTATCGTTTCATGTTTAATTAGCCATACAGTTAGGTTAGAAGTTCTTTTTTATGTTTGGCATTTTTTTCTTACATTTCTTAAATCCCTAAGCTTATTGCTTTATATTTTAAAAATCGAGTGCCCAGATCGGCATCGATCATTGACAGAGAATTAAACACTCTCTAACGGTTACTGAATCATTACTGAAAGTCGCAACTGCATGTGCTGTGTGTCAGATGTAACACTTCCCAGTTAAAGTTTTCTAGATTATGGATATTGGGCTGTGATAGCGGATTGCCTGACGACTTCTCCCTTATCGGCGGGCGACCTCGCCGGGGGACAACAGTAATGGCATGGATATTGCTGCCTTCTGAATGTTGAGGGTGCTTTGAGGTGATTACACAATGTACTTCATCGCGTAGTGAAAAATAACACAGTAATTGCCCAACAAGGCATAGTGGCGCCGTGGCGAGTTTGAAGCTTTATTTTTTATAAAGTACCGTACATGTCTGTATATACTGCTGTTGATTTCGCCAACCGAGGTCCTGTATAGACTTTGTTGTTCAACAGTTTTACACGTATCCGTAGCGTTTCGGTTCCTGTATATGTATTTGTGCTCTTTCCCAAGTTGGTTTGTTGAGCTATTGTTTGTACAGTAAATAATGGTTTGAATGGTCAGTTAGATTGCTCTTGTGGAATGAAAACGTAAACTCCAGACAGCTTACTGTATTCGATTTTATTGTTTCTGTGCTTCTGTTACAGATTGTCTACTTAAAGCACAAAGAGCAAAATACAGATTTCCGTGTTTAGGTACATGTATAAGGTTTTTTCACCACTTTGAAATAATGATTAGTCCTACCTTTCTGTTGGGCATAATATTCTCTCTGTAAAACGACGTTGCTTATGCGCATTAAGTCTAAAAACCAATGTTGTAGTTGGCTCTGAAGTGGGTTTTTTAGAGACCATGAAGGTGGAAAATGAGATATTTATACTGCTTATTTGACCGTACTCAGAGAACAGCGCAATCAAACTTGCTGGCGAGTTTGTTGCTTTTTTATAACAGAAATAAATATTAGAGATTTCTGTACTTGCATTGCAAAATCCTGTTTTGATTGAGTGTATTTTATGGACTTCCCGCAAATGGTACGTAATCGTCAAGAAATCTGGTCTTTCTCCTTCCAGAAGCACTATTTGGGGGGGGGTCTAGAGGGGAATGTGCAGATAGGCTCGTTTTATGGGCTATCGTATGGGCGGGGCTACATACGATGTGCTTTTGCGATAGGCCTATGAGTGCGCCCTCATGTGACATTTGTTTGGCGTAACACAAGTACAGACGCGTTGCATAAAACACTAACCTGGTTAAACTAAATATTTACATCTGAGGTTTGTGTTCATGGTGACTTCTTTCGTGTGTAAATTTTTCTACGGAACTTCAGGGTTGCAACAAGTCGCGATTTGAGTCGATCTGAGTAAAGCACTTAGCTCAAGTCCCTTCAAGTCACAAATAATTGAACACAAGGGACACAATAAACACAAAGGAGAAAGTTACTTTTGACTTTTAAAGTTCACATCTGGGCTACTGAATTAGGTGACATCATATCTCACTCTTCATGCAAATGAAAAGGATAAAGTGCAGTAGTGTATCCAGCGGGGGTGGGGGAGCAGAGGGGCAACTTGCCCTCTTGACGGATTTTTTTTTTTCAAATTTCTTTTCAACTGAGAATACTTTATAGGTGAGTGGGTAAGGAACTAATCAGGCCCCCGGGTACCAGTTCACTGTGGCAGTGTGAAAGAAAGATGACATGCAGTGAGGGGATTTGAGTGGCAACCAGAACACTGTAGCCTTTTTTTATTTTTAACAGATGAATATTCAGGAAATGAAGTGTCCTGAACATTCACCAATCCGTTCCGAGTGGGAACAAAAGAGGGCCTTTTTTTTTTTTTTTGGTACTCATCGCATAGGCGTGCCATGAGATGTGCGTTTGACGCGGAGCACGCTGAGTACACGTAACTAATTTATTCCAGCATGTATGTCTTCGCGTGCATGCTGGGTACAGTCCACTAATTCAAGCCCCATTGAAAACAGTGTAAAATCACCATTCTTTAGAGCTCAATAACATGCAAGCCAACATCCCTGAGGTGTCTCACCCAAAAATTTAATTATTATTCGGTCATTAATCTTTCAGTTTCTTTTCAATTTTCGGGGGGTTAACCAATTACATTTTTAATTATTCACCCAAAACAAGACCAACCCCCCAAAAGTCGACGTTCCTAAGTCAGCACGCAGCCATTTTTTAAATGGCAACCCTCTACTTTCTCGGTCCTTTTGGAACATTTTTCAACCGTATTTTTTATCTCTTCCGCCCTCAGATGGAAGCCCAAAGAACCAGGGACTCGATCCTGGCAAAGCTTTACACAATCTCACCATTTTGGGGGCCAAACAATCCCCTTTTTCGAAAGATACTGTGGGGGCACTTTTAATGCTAATGAGCCTGGCGGAAATTATTGCTTGAATTAGTGGACTGCATCCTTTAAGAAAGCATGCAAAGAATCCACTTATAACCGCATGTCTTTCTTTTGCCGATTGGGGGTGCACTTCAGCTCATGCCGGATACTCACACAGCACAATGGAAAGATAATTTCCTATCACCCTGACCCTTGGCCTAACACGAAGATACATGTTATTCACATAGTCATCTCCAATGATTAAGTTGCACCACTTAATATCGGGTATTAGAGTACACACAAGAAATCTGTGCTTTACTTGAACAAAGTAACTTTCTTCTCATGTTGCCTAATAAATAAAAGGGGGTTAGGTAGAACCTATATCATGAATAAATTCATTAAATGTGAAAACAGTGTAAAATTTGAATTTGAATAACTGACATAAGTCAGTTATTCAAATTCATTTTATTACACACATTTATTGAATTGTACAAGTTATTTCTGCAAGTACCAGAAACTTTCAATAACATGCATTGTGAATTTATGTTACTATACTAGTCACTCATAGTCTATTCCTGGGGATATAGTCAGTGAAACATTGGAAGTTCTTTCTTAAACCAACTTTTGGCATGCTACAAACACATCTCAAACAAACTCCCCACGGTTTGCTGTGGTTTTTCACTCCACAGTGAAAACTTCATCTGCAATGCACTATAGGCCTACTTCTATCAAAGAGCAACAGACAGGAAATCCCACATCATACATGTTCTCTCTGCAAGCCTATGGTGGGTGATTATCAGTGGTCAAAGCAGAAGAAAAATGAACTTTATCACTGAACCTGCTGCATCAAAAGCCCAGTTTCACTTCTCACCATTCTATAATCTACTTTACATGCAGTATCTATATGCCATGCCTTATAAACAGGAGAGGAGAAATGTGACCAAAGTGGACAATTTAATGCACTGGCTTTACATGTACAATGTGACACAACAATCTGTAATGTACACCAATTTTAATCTTTTCAATCCTTAAACATCTTCAACAAGACAGTCCAAACATGTAACAATCCTTGATCTACGACATTTGAATTACAATATGATAATAAAAAACTGTTGAACTGACCTGTGGCAGAGCAAGAGAAAGATGACGGGCAGCACGTACGTCAGCGGATTTAGACAGCAACCACAACAACGCAACATTTTGATAGTGTCGAAGTACTAGCGCCCTCTGCAGTCTCAGTTATAGCAACTTGAATAAAACGTTTTGTCTGTACCAAAAATAAAAGGAAGCGATCGATGACAACACCAAAACCTAATTGCATCGTACAGATATGTGTCTCATTATGTAAATGTAAGCTTTTGTCTATTAGTATCTTGAAATCAAGGCATAATTCTTATGAAATCAGGACATAAATTTAGCCAGCCTTCCACGAAGAGCTACAGTGATGAAACCATGAGATGAGATATGCACATGGAGCTACATGTACAATGTATAAAGCTCCTCTACGGACACGCACCAAGTTCCGGGTTATACGTGCCACGGTTCTAAACCACATGATGGGAGTCCATGACATGATGTATGCATGTATTTAGGGTATGCACGTTGGGTAACAGTATTTGCGATATGACGCGAATCCGATAATCCGGCATTCGCCGCAAGTCAAAGAGTTTTCGTTAAGCTGAGAGAGGACTCACACTAATAAAGCAATTGGCGACTTGGGCAGCTCGGCGAACTGGCCTGGGTTCGAGGCACTTTCACCAGGGAAGAGCTGCGCCTTGTGCATGTTAGGAATTTTATGCGACTGCTTTACGACGCGTACGGTCAAACGAAATTCAAGGCGACTTTGGTTGACTTGTGGTCAGTTTTGTGTTAATAATTTGGTGAAAGTCGGCAAGACCTTCGTCCGACTTTCTCCAGACGTTCGTGCAACAGTTTTGAGATGGCCTAGCGCCCTCGGCGAACCATGACACTGTCAAGGGAATGCGTCGCGCAAGTATCTTGCGACCATCACGGGATGGGAATCACATTTCGCGGCCACCGACCAGCTGGTATGAAATCCCCAGCAAACTAAGAACCAAGGTCAACATCAGTCTGCATCCAGCCTCTGGAGAGAATGGGTGTGCAGGACTACCGGAAGGACCCTCGAGATCGGCCAGCGCTGGTTCCGGGACTGAGTCTTCCCTGACCAACCCAGAGCCTTCCATGACCAGCCCAGGGTTCAGGGCACGATTTTTTTCAGTTGGCAAAAGCTTTCGACATGTTTTAGATTGTTTGGTGCCTGTTATGTCACGTGACACTTGCAAAGGCTCTGTGAGACGACCCGACGAGAAAGTCGGAATAGCGATAGACGCTGGATGTTATATTGAACATATTCAAAATTCCCGCGCACATCTTTGCAAAATAGGAGAACGTCTAACAAATCCCACGAACGTTTCGAGATGTCCTTGCAACATTTTTGCAACTAATTTACTGAGTGCCATGATTCCAATTCGCTGAATTCGCAAAGCCTAGAGTGGCTTTATCGGATCTAGAGCCTTGTTAGCTTTCGCTTGAGTCCAGTCTTCTGATGAGGACTCGACTCGAGTCATTTAGTTGCATCGAGTCGCCAGAAAGTGTGACTCGAGTTGGATACATTCGAGCCTGAATCGAGTCATTACAACCAGTGGCGTACATTTGTGCCGGAGAATTGGGGGGTGGGGTGTAGATTTTTTTTATGGGAGGATGACTTGCCCGGCCATGGAAATTTGAAAAGTGGAGATACATATGACATTATATAGGGGGCGATGTTCATGATATAGAAGTACATCTGCAATATGTATTGCTTTAATTAAATGGCATTGCAGAATCTTACATCAGAGTGGCATATTAATGTTTTGGGTTGTTTTCCCTTTTTAGTGATATAGAATACACCTTGGTCTTTGGGCAGTCTGAAAAATTTCACAATCCGCTTGAATATTTGCTCACCACAAAAAGTGTGTGTGTGGGGGGGGGAGTGATTCAATAACCCATCCCCCACCCTCAAAAAGGATGGGGGAGATTAAAGGCCTATACCCCCCCCCCCGATTTACGCCCACGATTACAACTCTGCAAAACTTAAACCTTGATGAAAGCACTTTTCCTTGACGCAGCGAGACAATGAAAGCTTCGAGGTTTTTCTGTCTTTATAGGGTACTGCTGAATTTTTCGTGGAAAAATAGTAATGGAGGCAGCTGCATTTTTATGGTAAAAATGCGATAAAATACCCGTTTACTGCAACAGTAAGGTCAGAGTCAGACACCAGAGAGGCCTTCAGAAATTTTTTTTGTTAAAATAGTACTCATGGCCTGGGAAAAAAAACTAGCGTTGTGCTCTTCACAAAGTGACCTGGAATGTATAAGTCCCAGTTCTATAACCGCGCTAGGTAAACGTGACTTGGTCGCAACTAATTGTAAATCGCCCTTTCAGAAAGCTGAAATGAATCTGCATGTCGAGTTTATGATCCACACAATACCTACACAATCGAACTAGGGTCTTTTTGTCTGCATAAATTCACCAGAGTTTTGGACAAAGACCAGCAAGGTAAAAAAAATGGCATTGAGAGAAGTGAATGACCACTGGCGAGTGTACTTGTGTTGCACCGGCCAAGGGCAACCGTATGGGGATTTTAGCCTTGACTG